GGAGAGGGGGGCCAGTGGCCCCACGTCCACGTCCCAAGCGCTGGAGCAGCTGGGGTGGGTCCTCATCTGACGCTGGGAGGTCACAGTCACCCCAGGTCCCACACCCGATGCCAAGGTGCCCGCGTCTTCATGTTGCCCCAGTGCCACGGCCCACCATGTGTCCTGGGCCTTGGGAGCTGCATGTGGGCAGGGAAAGGGCTGGGAGTACACCAGAATGGGGGCTGGTGGCAGAAATGGCCTAAAACAGTACCACCAGGAGTTAACATGGGCAGCCTGTCTTCTGTCATCCTGCACATCATCCTCTGGGGATGGGGGCAGTTGGCAGAACAAAATTCCTCTGTTCAAAATATGTGCCAGGCTCTGTTCCAGGCACCGGGGGAACCAGTGACCTGGATGGAGCAGCAACCTGCCCTCAGGACGCTTACGTTCTAAGGGAGCTAGGAAGACAAGGCCAGTGCGCTGGAACTGCACAGGACGGAGCGAGGTCTGGGAAAGGGCAGAAATAGCGCAGGCCGGGGATCCGAAGTGCCCCGGTGTGGGCTGCAGTTTTTAAAATGGGAGCTCAGGGTCATGGAGAAGGTGACTTTAGGGCAAAGACTGCCCTGGGGGAAGGAGACCGGAGGATAAGGCCCTGGGGCAGGAGAAAGGGGCACAGTGGGTTAGTAGGGGGTGTGCAGGGGGTCCGGGGAAGGGGGGGCAGGCGCAAGGACCTCGGCTTGTGCTCTGGGACAGGCTGCGGTGGGTCAGACTCTGGGTGTGCCTTGGGGGTGGAGCCACCGGACTCTTGGGGGGCAGGGGTCACATCTGACGGCCGGGTTTTCAGGCTGAGCACCTAGAAGGTCAAGAAGGGCACGGTGGGCAGGGCAGGGGTGCAGGGCTCACTTGTGTGAGCCAGTGGGGGTGGGAGGGAGGCCTCGAGCTCAGGCTGCCTCCTCTTCTTCCTGGGGGCCTGGGTCTCCACTCTGCCGGGGTCCCGGGCGAAGCCCTCTCTCGAGTTCTGTTCACCTCTGTGTACCTACTTCCCAACCGCTCTTCAAGGTGATCGAAAAATTCTCCATTTCCAAGGAGAATTTGTTCTGCTAAGGGCTGTGAAAACAAGTCCCGCCCCCTGGCTTTCTCAATTTCTCAGAAATATCCTCTGGTCCTCACTGGCCGTGCTCCCAAGAACTACAGCACAATAAACACCTTTTTCAAAGCAGCCCCCACCTCACCCTTCAGCCCAGTCTGGGCCGGTTTCCACCAGACGAGCCGAGCGAGGTAGCACCGTTTCCTTCAATCCATAGATCCAAAACATGTTTTGTTAAAACAATTATTAACTAATATCCTTACTATATATGAAGCATTCACACGGATACTGAAAGCAAACAAACACCAAGGCCCAAGGACAAATGGGCCAGGAACACAAAGCCAAATCACACGCATGCGTGCACACGCACCTCACTTGCACACCCACCTCACTTGCACACCCACATATGCTGGCGGGGGGGTGAGCCCCACAGCCAAAGGCACTGAGATGCCTCCTCTGAATACCCTTGACAGTCGGGCCATCAAACCGGGTAAGGAAAGCCTGGAAAGGGTGTGCGAGCCAGGCTGGGGTTGGGGGGCCCCCCAGGCCCTTCCTTGTGAGGACGTTCAGGGATGGGGCGGGGAACAGCTTGGCCACTTGGGCAGGGCACTCACCCCTCTGTAAAACGGGAGCGTCACCTACTGGGAGGGTTCCCTGGCGATGGAATGAGCCGGGCCCCAGCCTGGAGCAGGGCTAACCCAGCGTGGGGATTTCTTACAGACACTGTTAGGGACTGAACTGTGTCCCCTTAAAATTCGTACGTCCGGGCGCCTGGGTGGCTCAGTTGGTTAAGCGACTGCCTTCGGCTCAGGTCATGATCCTGGAGTCCCGGGATCGAGTCCGGCATCGGGCTCCCTGCTCGGCGGGGAGCCTGCTTCTCCCTCTGACCCTCCCCCCTCTCATATGCTCTCTCTCTCATTCTCTCTGTCTCAAATAAATAAATAAAATCTTAAAAAAAAAAAAAAAATTCGTACGTCCAAGCCCTAATTCCCAACGTGACTGTATCTGGAGATGGGCCTTTAAGGAGGTCATTAGGGTAAAATGAGGTGGGGCCCAGATCCCAGAGGACTGGTGCCCTTACAAGGAGAGGAAAGGCTGCGTGAGGACAAAGAGGACGTGGCCTTCCGCAAGCCAGGGGGCGGGTCCTCTCCAGAAACCATCCCTGCTGCACCTTGATCTTGGGACTTCCTGCCTCCAGCCGCGCCCCGCCGCATCTCACCAGAGCAGCCCGTGGGTGTGCGAGACGTGGGCCACTGTGCACGCCCTCACTTCAACAAGGACACCCTGCCTGCCACCGCCCTGGGGGCAACACCTCCGTCAGCGACAGCGGCAGAGCAGGCCCCAACGTCCATTAAAAACAGATCCATCCGTAGTTACATCCCAATTCAAATGTGCACCCACATTACACCAGAGCCCTGATTTACCAGGTTCATCACAAAAGTTTTTGTAAAAAAAACAAAACAAAGCAAAACAAAAAACAGGCGACACAGTCTGCTGCAAGGGTTTATTATTATGTTTAGTCTACAAATTTGATCTTTTAAGAAAAATGCACAAAATATTCAGTTGAAACCTCATTTCTGGTTCATCAAATTTCAAATATATTTTCCTGTGCGGAACAATATATTCTAGTGCTGTCGAAAACACAGCCAAATGATTTGTCTTTGTTCATTTATACACACTCTGTAATTTTCTGAAAACCAAGATACAAAATATCAACAAAACCACCCAGTTACAACTACTCTTCTCCCATACACTGAAATCTTTTCCGTGGGTCTATCCTCTTCCCTTCTTCATTTTAAATTCTCTACGCTCTGTTTGTAAACAGGGAGTTCTCACCAATTCAAACACCTTGTGGAAAGATTAATTCCCTTGGCAATGCAGAAGCTTAGGTTTGTTAAAAGTACTCACTGAAAATTTTTTAATTTATAGATTGTATAAAATAAGCATTTACAAAGGGACAGACGACTTTCAACATTATTTTGAAATCCCCATTAATATGTGGAAATATAAATGAAGCAATCTGTCAAATTAGACATTTTTGGTCTTTTGTTTTTATTCTTTACTCCCTTTTGAATGAAATGTGTGCTGTGGATTTTGTTTCTCCAGGCCCCTGTAGCATTGGCTGCTCGTGGAGCCCTTAGCCCCTAGGTCACACAGCACGGGGACCCCCCTCCCCGCAAAGGAAGGCTGTCAGTCCTCAGAGCGGGGAGAAGCCCTGGTCTCCAGGGCCCCAGCTGCTGGAACTAGATTCCACGAAAATCAAGCAAGGATATGCACGACTCTGCCTAAAAGGGGGCGGGGGAGGGCGGCGTGTGCAGGAAGGAATACACAACAGAAATTACAATAAAGCTTCTACTACATCAAAAATGAGAATTTCTCCAAAGAAATGCTAAAAATCAGTAATGCATATATACCATGTGACCAAGTAGCAAAACAAATCTGCTGGTCTCGGCCGCAGTCTGTGATGTGGTCACTGGTTCGCGGAGGGAGGAGCTTCTTCTGGAAGCAGGTATCGGCCTGTGGGGATTAGGAGCCGTAGCGATCCTGCCGAGGGGGAACCGAGACGAGAGCTTACTCGCACTCGGCGTCGGATCCTCCTCCTCGTGCACACGGAATGCTGGCCGTTAGCACACTGACCTTGCAGCGAGCACACACCACTGCCTGGCTGGCTGACATGCTGCCCCCCGCCGCCCCCCGCCGCCCCCCCGCCACAGTAACTGGAAGGGGCGGCGACCCCTGCTTCCTGAGCTTCCTGAGCTGACACTGAGGCCTGCGTGCACCTCGGACGCAAGAGCATCCTGCCACCCAGGCCTCTGCGGTGCATCTGCAGCTCCGGGGGTCGGGGGAAGGGGGGCAAACTATCAGGGTGAGAGCCAGTGGTGGGCCCCTGGGAGGCAGGTGTCATGGGAAGGCGGGGCACACGTGTGGAGTCTGAACCCTGCAATTCTGGCTCTGCTGAGCGATCTCGTGCGGAAGCAACTTGGCCTCTGCAGCCAGAAAATGAAGATATAAAGGCGGGGAGGGACCTATAAAATGGGGATCACCTTCCACAAGCTATGGATGTCACCTGCTCGGAAGGACTGATGAGGGCTCAGCTGAGCTCGGGCACACCAAAGCTCCTTTGAATTCTAACCAAAGGTTACAGCGGCAGTGAGAAGAGCAGGAGCCTCGGGGCTGAGGGGACGCTCCACCGTGGGGGCATCCCCACCGCCTCCCCAACCTGGGAAGCCCCTCCAGAGGCACCAGAGCTGACATCCGTTAGGTGTCGCTGCCCGTGGCCATGTTTTTACATTAATAATAGCATCCTGGGGCGCCTGGGTGGCTCAGTCGGTTGAGCGCCTGCCTTCGGCTCAGGGCATGATCCCAGGGTCCTGGGATCGAGCCCCGCATCGGGCTCCCTACTTGGCGGGAAGCCTGCTTCTCCCTCTGCCCCTCCCCTCTGCTTGTGTGCTCTCTCTTTCTGTCAAATAAATAAATAAAGTCTTAAAACAAACAAGGAAATGCTCGTAACAAAATACCATGGAGAATGTCAAATCACATATACAATATAATCCTGTTTGAATTTTAAAAAGATATGCATAGGAATCTAGAACTAAAAATATACCAAAAATTAACAGAAGTTTTCCTCATGACAGACGATAATGGGTCATTTTTATTTCCTTCTTACTATTTCTCTGTCCCAGTATAGGAAAAAAGTAGATCAGGATCACGACAATCCCTCTAACATTCCCCTAGAGTCATCAACTAGAAAATGTAAGCAAAAGTAAAATTACAATTTCTGGCGTTCGTGACGTCCTGGGTTACACTGTAGTAGACATTATCATTCAATACCATGAAGTCGAATTTGTCAGCAGCTGAAGAGTGGTCCAAACCTCATTTTCAAAGCTTTGAGCCACCACCCCGCTCCGCTCCCGTCACCCCCAATATCACTGACCTGAATGGAAGTCATGACTCCATTAGCAAAGACGGAGAGCTTTCCAGCAACGGATCTCACTCCCTGCTTAAACTGGGCCATGTCGGGCGCCGTGGGCAGCACGCTTGTGAGGCTGTAGCTTCCTGCACACAGAGCAGAGCCCCCCTGTCACTCCACAGCTCCGACAGACAGCACAGCCAGGGCCCAGAGCCCTCGATGACCTCAGGGGACGTGGGGTGCCCTCCCCTCCCACTGCCCACAAGCAGCAGCTGTGGTTAAGGGAAAAGAACCTTGCAGCGGGGTCAGGACTCAGTGTCAGGGCCAGCCCCACCAGGAACCAGCTGCAAGTCCCCACATGAGAGAAGATGCGGTATCGGGTGTTGGGACCAGCAGGGGTTCAAATACCGGCACTGCCACTTTTAAGCTGTGTGTCTTTGGAGAGCTTCCTCACCCTCTCTGGGCTCCTGGTTCCCCCCCAGGTGCTGAACACAAGATCTGACAGGTAAGTACCCGGTAAATGGCAGATGGGCAGACATCTCTACTTCTCATGTGCTCAGCATCCCTCCCCCCCCTCTTTTGGTACAAGCCCTCCTCCCTTCCTCTGGGGAGCCCCCTGGACTCCAGCCAGAGGGGCGGGCACGGGACCCAGGCCTGGCCGATCAGAGCCTTCCTGGGACTCGTGTATCTTCAAGGGAGAGGAGCCGACGGCTTGCCCCAGGCTTACTGCCCGGGCTAAGGTGCCGCTGCGGCCGGCCGGCCCCTCACCGCCACGCAGGGCGGGCAGAGGAAGCCTGCTGCAGTCCGAGAGAAAGGTAGGTTCCCCAAGGAGGTGAGCCGGATGCTAGGTGTCTCTCTGAGGCTGTTTTCAGACTCTGAGCTGGAGCCCCGCTCACTGGGTAGAGCCAGACCCCCCACCTTCCTTCCTAAGCCGGCCTCGATTGGGTTTCCTTGCTTCCGCGCTGGCTGTCCGACCCCAACAGTAGCCTATTTCCACCAACACGGGTGAAGAGCGTCAGTGTTATCACATAAGGGGCGATAACCCCAGAGCTGACAACCAGGCTCTCGTGGTTGGGGGGGCTTGGGGACCGTGAGTGGGCCCAAACCCTGCAGGTCCTCTGGGGAGCCAAGCCCAGCTCCCCCCACAACCCATGTGCACCCACCTGCCCCTTCAGCAACAGAAGCCAGTTCCCTTCCCAAGAACACACAGAATGGTCATGTTTATCCTTCCGCACAGCACTTGCCCAGAAGGGACACTGTGTTTATCCACAGCACTGTTCCCATGTCCACCATGCAGGGAGGGGGCCTGAGGTGCGGGTTCTTCCCCTCCCTGCCTCCAGCTGAGGTTTTAAAGGTTTGTGGGCCTCTGCCAATAACAGAGCGGAAGCCCGGCCCAGCAGAGCTGGGTTCAAATCCCAGCACAGCCACGCCCCAGGCGGTGCTCCCAGCCTAAAAGATGGGTCTTAACAGCCAACAAGGAGCCAGTGTGAGATCCTGAGCGCACAGAGCCCGGGTCCCCGCGGCGCCATCACCTGGCCAGGCCCACAGGGGCTGGGTGGGTCCGTACCAGAGGTCGGCAGGGGGGACAGCAGAAGCACCTCCACCTACGAGTTTCTAACTGGAGAAATGTGTAAAGAGGCGAGCACTGTGAAGGCAGGACAGCTGTGGGACCGTGATCCCGCACTGACTACGTTCAGTCCGCAGGTGCCCTGACATGTCAGCCAGTTTCTCAGCGTCCTTCCCCTCCTCCCCTTCCTCTGTACAGAACTCCCCAGTTCTAACCCTTGCAACAAGGTGTGTCCAGGTGACAGAGTTCTGGTCAGTGAGTGTAAGCTGAAGCGCCCTACAGGGCTGGGGCCTGCCCTTTTCCCTCCCTCTTCCTCCTTCCTGCTGGCTGGGATGCAGGTGTGATGCCTAGGGCTCGAGCAGCCGTAACTGGCGTGAGGTGAAGTACAAAGTGGAGGTCATGAGGGGTAAGGAGGAAAAGGGCCTGGCTCCTTGGCATCTGGGAACACAGTGCATGTCCCAAACTGTCCCCCAGAATCACACGTGAGACAGAAACAAACTCGGGTCTGATTTAGCCTCTGTTAACGCGCATCTTCCTTACTTAATCCTCACTAACGATCTAAGCTCCCAGGAGTGTAAGCAGCCTGCTAACTCCCAGGCGGGGGTCATGTCCCCGGCAAGGAGGCGCCTTCCCACCCTCCGCCCGCAGGTCTGCGGCCCTGTGCTCGACGGGCTCCAGACTGCTGAGAACGGACTGACGGTCTCCTGTGGCTGTGAGGTCTCCTTGTTCCGCGGGTGTCTGGCTGCCACGTCCCCTCGGAGGGCTGCCCAGGACAACAGGGCCTGGGTGCGCTTGGCCGCACAATGGGCTCCAGGAAACGACAACTCAAGCTGCTTCCTCAGGAAGAGGCTCCAACCCAGGGTCTAGGTCAGGTACCCCATTTCCCTGCTATCTGTTCCCGTAACACCCCCAGGGGGCTTCTTGCTAAGGATGTCAACACAGACCTGCTTTTCCAGAGCTCACTGCCTCCTGGGAAGGCAGACAATCAGCCGAAACCAGAGGAAGAGAGTTTGGCCAGTTAGAGGCAGTCCCGGCATGCGGGGCTGTGGCCGAGCCCAAGCTGGTGGAAGTGGTGGGGATGCGTCTGAGTGTCCCGAGGAGGCTTATGGACCAACTGGCTTGGGGGCGCGGGGGGTTGCTGGGAAAGAGAGAAATGAAGGATGACTCCCAGGTTTCTGGCTCGAGCAGCTGGGGAGATGGCAAGCCAGAGGCAGAGGCCCTGCAGGGTCCAGGCCGGGGCAGAGGGCCAGCTGAGCTGGGCCGGGTTAAGTGATCAGTGTGGTCGCCCCACATCGGTCAGGAAGGCCAGGGGACACGGAGTGAACACCTCCTCCCCGCGCCCACTGTGGGTCGGCAGGGGGACGCAGGCCCACGGGGCTGTCCCTGAACGCAAGCTTCCAGAGCCCCCCCACCAGAGTACGCGCCGCACACCGGCTCTCACGGCCCGGCGGGGAGAGCGCCACATCCCTGCTGTCCCTGACACTGGCCACGCAATGTCACACTTGGCGCACAGCATGTCCCTGGCTGTGCTGGAGGGGCGCTAGCACAGTGGGGGCCCTGGTTCCTGCGCCCCGCGGCCCGAGGGACCCACCGCCCGCCCCCCCAACCCAAGAGCTCCCTCCCTGCCGACCACTCACTCCACAGACACCGAGGGCTTTCTCTGTGCCAGGTGTGCCGAGATGAGAACGGACAGGTCCTGTCCCGGGGGGGCTCCTGGTCCCGTCGGGGGAGACGGTCCTCGGAGGGCCTGGCGAGAGCACAGGGCGGTGGGGGCCGAAGCAGGAAAGGAGCACAGGAGCCAAGCACCGACCAGCAGGGGCTGGGTGGCCGAGCTGCACTCCAACCAAGGACAGGACTGGAAACCCGGGCAACCAGGGCTGAGAACTCAGCCGGAGGCAGGAGAAGGGGGGGGGGGGTTGGCGCAGGGCAGTTCCCGGGCTCCTCAAACAATGAAGTTTGAGTAAAATATCATGTACCCATTTCCCTGAAACAGAGACGAATGGAGAGGAAAAGGAGGTCCCCGATGACGCAAGTGCCGAGTTTCGGAAGGACCAGAAGCACCGCAGGGGCGCCTCTCGGGACCAGCACAGCAGGCCCGCACTGACGTCAAGGACACTCCGGTCGGCGAGGCCACCGCACAGCTGCGACGCGGGACAAACACGGCTGCCCGCGGACCGGACAGAACCGCCAGTGCTCGGAGGTCTGCAGGCCCCGAAGAGGCCGCGTGCCCAGGCTCCGGGCCTGAGTGAGGAGGCAAGCGGAGGGTGGCCGAGGCGCCCCGAGGGGACAGAAGCAAACACGCGGGAACCCGAAGGGTGCACGGAGCCAACGAGAGCATGGCGCCGAGCGGAGAGGGGTCTGCAGCGTCCCTGGCTCTTGCAGGCGGACAGGCCCAGAGGCAAGTCATCGCACCATCTGCTTGAAAGAAGTACCCCCAGGGGCAGGCGAGGTTTGGAGCTGCTTCCGCTCTGTCGTTCCGCGCCCCGAGTGGCGCCTCGCAAGCTGGTGCTGTTGGTGGCAGTCCCACGTCCCCCCGCTGACCCTGCTCTGACCCCGGGGACCGACGCTGTGCCAGGCTGGAGGTGGGTGCTCGCCCGTTTCTCATCTGGCGCTTTCAATACCCTGGAAGGGAAGCGCCCTCAATAAATGTCGGCGCTCCCGGGTTAACCACATCCCCAGGAAGCATTTGACTTCACCAGGAGGCCTTTCAAATCTGGAACTATCCCCCCCCGCCCCACAAAGAAATTATAAAGGTGTACTGTGATCTACTCAACAACACTGATTTGTCACAGATGGGAAAGCACCTAACATAAGGAACACAAGAGTCTCTTAAACCAGCTTTCGCTGTTTGCTGAAATGCACTCTAAACAAAAAGTAAGTATTTAATAAGAGTTGTTCAATGCACTTGCATTTAGGGCAGTTACTGAAAGCAACTTTTATGTATTTTTTTTTTTTAAGATTTTATTTATTTATTTGACAGAGAGAGACACAGCAAGAGAAGGAACACAAGCAGGGGGAGTGGCAGAGGGAGAAGCAGGCTTCCCGCTGAGCAGGGAGCCCGATGGGACACTCCATCCCAGGAACCTGGGATTATGATCTGAGCTGAAGGCAGACGCTTAACGACTGAGCCACCCAGGCGCTCCTGAAAGCAACTTTTATGATGAGCTTGATGGAAGAGGCAGAGTGAGGGTGACCAGCGTCTGAGCCATGGGCTTGGACAGAGGAGAGAGGGCGGGAGGCCGGGGGGAGGGGGCACCCTTACAGGACATGCCAGGGGGCACCCTCACCGTGACTGTGAGTTCCCATGGATGGAGTTTGTCTGGGACCCACACGAGGCCCAAACAGTTAAAGGACCTTTGTTCTCTGAAAGGGGACAGGAAAGTAAACACAGGCTGGCCAAAATTTCCTCCAACAATTGGAAAGGCTGCTTTCATTTGATCTCCACATATTTTCTTTGTTTTTGTTTTTGTTTTTAACAATGGTTCAGAGTGAAACTTCCAACAACTTGAATTACAAACACACACAACTGGGCGGGGGGCAATTTCCAACAGTCGGGTTCTCTGGGCCGACCTGACCCCTGCCAAGGCTGTGAGGCGACCCAGCACTGACTGGCCCATGGCACTGGAGACAGAGCTGCAGAGACCGCCCCCCGAAGGGCGCAGGGCCAACACCCCTCTGCCGGGGCAGGCCCAAGGGGAAGTTGCCCTAACAAGAGGCCAGGGCGCTTAGAGCCTTGAGGTGAGAACACAAGTCCAGGAGCCACCCCTGCCCCACCCGGACTCAGTGCAGAAAACAGCTCAGAGAGTGGCCTGACCAAGAGCCCCAGCCCCACTGTGTGAGGCCGGGGCACAGCACCGAGCACCCCTACCTGTCTCTGGGGTCAGTGGGCCCCCCGGGCTGGGATGCTCCCTCCCACAGCAGCCAGCAGCCTGGCTGCTCACTCACTACACCCCAAGGGCCACGGTGGAACTTCTAGCATCCCCACATCCCATCACTGAAGGTTCCAGGCACTCGGGTCTGCCCTATGACCATCTCTCTTGAGGCTGCTTCTTGCTGGACACAGGAAACAGCTGTTCTTGGTGGCTGTCCATGCTGGTCAGCTATGCCCACGCCCAGCTCCTCCAGGGCCAGCAACGAGGGCATGCAGGTGGTCCTGGGCCTGGAAACTTGGCTCTGGAGATCCCCTCCCCTTGGGCTCCCCTGCTCAGTGAGTTCCTGAAATGACCTCAGAGGACACTGCTCCTTGAATGTTAGCTATGACATAGGAGGGACACCTAGCCTTCCCTTAGCCCTGTGGCCTGGCGGAGGCCTGGGTGGGATCCAACACGGCTCAGGGACCCAGAGGTACAAGCGGAGAGTGGCACGGCTCTGGATGTCCAGGATGGCCCCGGGCTCTGAGGTGCACTCCCTGGGGCTCCCAGACTCTCTACAATGGGGTCTGGACCTGAAGAGGGATGGGGGAGACAGAAATTCCTCTCCACCTGCCTGTCCCCAAGGCCACATTCTGCCTTCCCTGGAAGACGGAGCCTGCTGGATTCTCCTGTTCTATCTGCTTCTGCCTCCCCTGGGGCCTACGCCAGACGCCCAGGCGACACTTTACACAGCACCTCACTGAAGCCTCAGTGCAACCTTGTGAGGGGCATACTATCCACCCTCTTCGGAGAAGAGAAGCTGAGGCTAAAAGTGCCATGAAATGCTCAAGGTCTCAGGCACGGAGTACGCAGTGACGCTAGGAGCCCAGGGCTGCCCCCTGCAAGGCTGCGATATCACACAAATCAGATACCACGTTCCCACTGGACTAGGAGACACTGTTTTGGGAAGATGACTTGCCAGGCAACCTAGGTCCCAGGACGCTGGTGAAATGTCATGACCTGGTTTCCTGACATGCAAAGCCTGGAATAATAATAATTTCTGCTCTGACTCATGGAGGAGGAAGAGCATCACATAACGGTTGCTGATAATCTTGGAAAAGTACAAAGTTCCGTGCAGAGAAAAAGCATTCGTGCTGCAAGCACGGAGGACAGCAAGCTTGCGAGCCGCCCCGCCCCCGCCCCCAGTACCTGCTGTCTGCTTCCTCTGCTCATCAAACAGATCGGCTGAGCTAATGGAGGAACTTGCCGAGAGCCTCTCCAGCCGAGCCCTGGTTTCATACTGGAGAAGACAAGGAAGAGGAAACATTAGGCTCCAAATACTGTGAGCAATTGTGCAAAAAGCATCAGCCTGGAGCTGACACATGACCGCTGCTGAGCCCAAGGGAAGGCAGAGAGAATGAGCCGTCAGTCCGTGCTGCGGGCCTCCAAGGCTTTGCGCCAGCCCGCCAGCGCTCCAACAGCAGGACAAAACCTTAGGCCCCCCCACTGCCCTAAGACCCTTCTGCTTAGCAAGACTCCACTAAGAGGCAACAACCTGAAGATAAATGTGCCTGCCCTCCAAAAACATGTCTACTTCATTTAATTTCATTAATAATAATTTAAAAATTAAGTCAATTACATCTGTATTGAAAATTGCCTGAAGTTTATTCCAAAGATATGAAATGGATGTCTGTTCAAAATACTGAGAAAGGAATTAGAGAAACATGAGACCTGGTCCCTACCTTCCAGCTGCTCGTCCAGCTGGGGCCGCGAGGGGGAGCGGGCAGGGAGACCTGGGTTCGAGTCCTGACGCCACACCCCGGGCAGCGGCCTCTCGCAGCCTGAGTCCGTCTCGCTCTGTGCCTATCACGTCCTCCCGCGGCCCTCATGTCCCCGCTTGCTTCCTGCTCTACGGGGCCCACACACAAACTCTCTGGACACTTACATCAGCTTGGGCTTGTCTTCCAAAGTACATATCTGATGAAATGGCTTTGACATTCCCAAACTTCTTCTGGGCCTCATCTGTATTTTCAACTGGCTCATAGTCTGCCTTACGGCGAGCAGTAGATCTACAATTAAAAACAGCCCAAACAGGAGTGACATCAGCAAGATGGTGGAATAGAAGTTTCCTACCATCATCCCCCTATAGAGCACCGATTCTGACAATCGTCTACAGGCAAGAATGACTCTACGGGAGCGTAGACATGTAGCAGAGAGGTTCCAGCACACTGTCGGAGCAAACAATCCAAGACCGGACACACTGAAGAGGGTAAGAGGAACAGTTTCACTCTGCCTGGGCCACCTCTCCCCCGCACATCCCCCCACCCCCCATTGCCGGCTCCCTGCAGAGGCCCCCACAGATGGCAGTACAAGCTTTCTGGGCATGTGCAGAAAGTCAGCCCGACTCTGTCGGACTGGGACAAAGTATACAAACTTGAGCATTTCAGGGTACCAAGGGAAAGCAAACAGGAGGCTCAAGCACCTGGCCTGGCCTTGTAGGATTGAGAAAAGGTATACCATCTTAAGAATTCACCCCCCAAAAGGAGTAAGTAGTGTGGAGTGGGCACACATAGGAAAGGTCTGAGGAAGCTTCAGAATCCCTAGCAGGTCTGCTGCTGAAGGCATTTCTCACCTCAGGCTAGTCAGTAGAGACAGAAGGAGGTGACTGCTTCTTCAAGTGCAAAGACAGCAACCCAAGACCCCAAGGAGCATGAAAAATCAAGGAAACATGACGCCACTAAGGGAACGCAATAGTTCTCTAAGAACTGACCCCAAGGAATTGCCCAACACATTTCAAAATAATTATTTTAAGGAAGCTCAGCAACCTACGAGTACACACACGACTCAACGAAATCAGGGAAACAATAGACAAACAAAACTAGCAGTTCAGCATGGAGATAGAAATCATAAAAAAGAATTAAACAGAAACTCTGGAGCTGAGGACTACAACAGAGGACATCAGCGGCAGACCTAATCAAGCAGAAGAAAGAATCTGTGAACTTGAAGACAAGTCATTTAAAATTATCCAGTCAGAAGAGAAAAAGAAACAAAGAATGAAAAAGGGAAGAAAGCCTAGGTGAATTATGGGACACCATAAGAAAAAAATTTATGCATTATGGGAAAAGAGATAATACAATACGGGAGAATCAACTCCATCAGGAAAAGAGAGGGAGAAAGGGGCAAAAAGCTTATTTAAAGAAATAATGACTAAATACTTTCCAAATCTGTAGATGTGGACATTCAGGTACATGAAGCTCTAAAGTCCCCAAAGAGATTCAACCCAAAGAGATCTTCACCAAGACACATTATAATAAAACTGTCAAAAATCAAAGACAAAAAGAGAGAAAGATCATATGATTCCACTCATAAATGGAATCTAAAAACAAAAAGAATAAACAAACAAAAAGCAGAATCAGAACTAAAACTATGAAAAAAAAAAAGAACCAGAACTACAGAGAACAAACGACGGTTACCAGACAGAAGCGGTAAGAGGGGGTGAGCAAAATGGGTGAAGGGGAGAGGGAGATGCAGGCCTCCAGTTTCGAAATGAGTAAGTCATGGGAATGCAAAGCAGAGCATAAGGAAAAAAACAAAGAATTTTGAAAGTTGCAAGAGAAAAGAAACTCTTCACATAAAATGGAATCCCTGCAAGGCCATCAGCAGATTTCTCCGCAGACACCTAGCAGGCCAGGAGACAGGGGGATGATATATCCAAAGTGCTGAAACAAAAACAAACAAAAACAGAAGCCCTGCCAACCACCAGACTGGTACCACAGAAATGCTAAAAGGAATTGTGCAAGCTGAACTGATGAATGGTAATTAACATAAAAACATGAACGTAGGGGCGCCTCAGTGGCACAGTGGGTTGAGTGTCTGACTCATGATTTCAGTTCAGGTCATGATCTTGGGGTCATGGGGTCAAGCCCCAAGTCAGGCTCCACACTCAGCAGGGTGTCTGCTGGAGATTCTCTCCCTCTGCTCCTCCCCGCCTCTAAATAAATAAATTAAATTAAAAATAAATAAAAACTGTAACAAGAGACAAAGGTTATTATATAACAAAAGAGGTCAATTCATCAGGAGGATATAACAATTGTAAATACACATGCATCCAACATTGGAGCACCTGAATATATGAAGCAAATATTAACAGATCTGAAGGGAGAAAGAATGAGACCGTACCGAAACCACAATAGAAGACTTCAGTCCCCCATTTTCAATAATGGACAGTTCACCCAGACAGAAAATCAAGAAAAACTGGACTTGAACAATACCTTAGACCAAAAGGACAAACAGACACATCAGGACATTCCATCCAATAGCAGCAGAACACACATTCTCAAGCACACACAGAACATTCTCCAGGACAAATCATGTTAGGTCACAAAACACATTTAAATCATACCTTAGATCTTAACAAGTTAAGAAGACTGAAATCATATTAAGTGTCTTTTGCAACCATAATGGCTGAAAGTAGAAATCAACAACCAGAGGAAGAAACTGGAAAATTCACAAATTCACAACACACTCCTGAACAACCAATAGATCAAAGAAGAAATCAAAAGGGCAATAAGAAAATATCTTGAAACAAATGACAATGGAAACACAACATACCAAAACTGATGAACTACAGCAAAAGCAGTTCTAAGAAGGAAGTTTATGGTCAATGAGTATCTGAAAAGATGTTCCACATCACTCATCATCAGGGAATGCAAATCAAAACCACAATGAGACACCCCCTCACACTTGTTCGGATGGCAATTCCCAAAAAAGGTGCGTATTGATGGGACCTGGAGAAAAGGGAAGCCCTGTACACTGTTGGTGGGAATGTAAATTAGCACGGCCACAGAGAAAACAGCATGAAGGTCCTTCAGAACATTAAAAACAGAACTACCACTTAATCCAGCAATCCCACGTCTGGGTATGTGTGTGAAGCAAACAACATCAGTATCTTGAGATCTCTGCACTCCCATGTTCACTGCAGCATTATTCGCAGCAGCCAAGATACAGAAACAATCTAAGTGTCTATTGATGGATCAATGGATAAAGAAAATATATATACGATGGGACATTACTCAGCCATAAAAAAAAAAAAAAAGGAAATCCTGCCGTTTGTGACAACATGGATGAACCTGGAGGACACTATGCTAAGTGAAATAAACCAGACAGAGAAAGAAAAATACTGTACAACTTCATTTATATGTGGAATCTAGAATTAAAAAATAAAGTTGGGGCACCTGGGTGGCTCAGTTGGTTAAATGTCTGCCTTCGGCTCAAGTCATGATCTTGGGGTTCTGGGATTAAATCCTGCATTGGGCTCCCTACTCAGTGGGGAGTCTGCTTCTCCCTCTGCCCTCCGCCCCCCAGGCTTGTGCTCTTTCTCTCAAATAAATAAAGTCTTCAAAAAAAAAAAAAGTCAAACTCACAGAAACAGAGAGTAGAATAGTGTTTCCCATGGGCTTGGAGGTAGGGGAAATGGGCAGATATTCAAAGGGCACAAACTTCCATTCACAAGATGAGTAAGTTCTGGGGATGGAAAGTACAGTACGGTGACTATAGTAAATAATACTGCGTTGTATACTTGAAATTTGCTACAAGTATGGATCTTAAGTGTTCTGAGCACACAAAATGAAAACAAACAAAAAATCCAGGCCGAATAGGTTAAACTAATTTGAGGCGAGGCAAATGCATTTCTCATTTATAATGTATACCAATGCCATTTTACTTTTTAAAAAGCTGACAGTGGTAATTTTGTAAAAGGATTTCAGGCCACATTAAAAAGCCTGAAAATTCTAATAAAAACATGAATAAATATCCAAACCACCCAACATTTGAAGGAATTTTCCTATTTAAATAGACCAGTCATTTCACTCTTCAGTGCCACAGATCCATTAGTAAATACGGAGTACACTGTAATGCACGTAAGACGCCGCTTCACATCATGTAGGATACAGAATGAGAATACTCCTCTGTCACCTAGCGCAGTCCAAGGCTGCACCTCTTGTCCCAACGTATTCGTCATGTCTCCCTGTGCTCCCAACAGCTCCCTGGTTTGGACAGGAGATTATAAAGTCTTTCATTCATAATCACCAACAACTGGAGATAGTCCTTCGACAGGTGAATGGGCAAACGACTCAACAATAAAGAGGAAGGAACACAATGTCATGATGAGAGTCTCAAGTGCACTATGAAAAGTCAAAAAAGCCAGTCTAAAAGGCCAATTACTGTATGAATCTGGGAAAGGTAAGATTGCAAGGTCAGAAAACAGACCAGGATGCAAAGAATATTCTTGAAGTAGTTGAATAAAATCATTTACTAGTCTTAAGAGAATTTCCCTAGAGATGCATGGCCTATTTACAATCCCACCGCTTTGTGTTCATACCTGTCTGAATAGCCTGTGGTTTTCAGGATGGTGTCAGTATCTTTGATGGTCTCTTTTTTCCAGTAGGAATCTGAACTGTCATCCCAGCTGGAAAAAGAACTGCTCCTGAACTCCATCGGCTCGTCCAAGTACCTGTATGAAAAAGAGTGACGGTGACTTGGGAGACCTTACTGATGTCCTCCACACTGTACTCCCCGGCCCTTGAGGGTGGGAGCAGCCATGTGACTACAGCTGACCAATGAGACAGGAGCAGGCGTGAAGAGGGTCATTTCCAAGGCCTCCAAAGGGCCCATGCTCAACTGGCCCAATCCCCCCTTCCCACGCCACATGGAAGACAAGGTGGTGTTTTCCAGGTGCTATAGCCTCGGGCAGGAGAAGACTCCATCCACCAGGAAAATCAAGATGCCACCCAAAGACCAGGTAGTCTGGACAATCACCTGTAGCCTCAGCTGAACAAGTACACCACCACTGTGTTAAGCCTTCAAGATGGGGGGATAGTTGTCATTGCAGCATAACCTAGCCCATCTGGTAGCACATGATATCTTTGAGTGTCTTTACTTACATATTTTGCTTTCTTTGCGTCTAGTTCTGCCTAATTAGGTAGTCACAACAAAAACCCCATCCAAAACACCATCACCTTGTTGGCATTCCCTGCCATGTTAGCCCCAGCATAAGCCATCAACCCTAATAATAACTCCCAATTCCCACTTCATGTAAATGATGCTAATTAGCCTCCTCCTTGAGTCAGATGCACAGCTGTGGATGGCTGATCACTGGACCACTCTGCAGATGATCTTGCAGCCTGGAGCTTAGAGTGAACTTGATCTGTAAGCATCTCTGAGGAGATGCTGGCCTTCTAGACAGTTTACCCTTTCATTAGCCAAGCATCACTGAGCAGGGCCTTGCTCAGAGAGCAAAACTCAGTGGCAGCTTTTGGTCCTGTGTGGTGACAGAGCAATCTTTGACCATGAGCAGCAGGGTTTGTCTGGAACACGACAGAGACTGATGGGTGAGGTGGATGTGCCATGGCTTCTCAGAATTCACAACAGCCTAGGATGGAAAACAGCCCTGCCAGATATGCACTCCTTTTAAAGGTGGGGTTCAAGACGTTCAGAACGGGCAGATTCCAAGGCTTGGTCCTGAGAAAGGAAGGATGATGCAAGAGGATGTAGAGGCTTTCAAAAAAAGTCACCCAGGCTTTCTGCAGAATAAGAAAAGCAGCACATGGGATATGTGGTGAGCACCAAGCTCCCATGTCGTAAGAAGTACTACAAAGACGGAAAGCTCGGGCAGTCAGAGGGGCCTGTAATCAAAGACAAATACAAGGGGCCAGCAGGAACCTTTGAGAACAAAGAGGCCAAGGGCCCAGATGAACTAAGATTTGGGGGGTGGAAATGTTAATAATGAACATACTCGTTTTCCTGGTTTAAAAAAAAAAAAAAAGGCGAGAAGGGATAAACTTGCTATTTGAAGCAGATGGTGTGACTTTACGCAGATAATAGAAAGAAAGCAGAATTTCCAAACGTGGCTTCTGCCTTCTCTGACAAGGTTATCATTAAGAGCAAATCTCATCACACTGGTCCTCTCTCCTCAGGAAGGAAGACGCAGGTGCAGAGCGGATCTGTGTGTCAGTGAGGAATGGGCCAGGCTCTCTCCATGGCTGATGGGGGGGTGAGCCTGGAGCCCTGGGCTCTCCCCTCTTGAGAGGAGACTTGGACAAGGAGACTTGAAGTGGTTCAGAGAAAGAGGGCTTCCAAAATGTGGGAGGCCCATTGGCCTGGAAAGTTACCTTTAATTATTTGAGAGACTTATTTGTAAGGGCCCAAGCAAAAGAATTAAGACCAAGTCAATGAGAAATTAAAAAAAAAACACTTAGTAAGCATCTATGAGGAGCTGGTACTCTGCTAGATGAGGACACAGGGCAAGGAGACATACTCAGTCCTCGCCCTCATGGGGTGGCTGACGGGAGCTCAGAAACCCAGTGAGGTATGTAAATAGAGGTATCATTCCTCATGGAGCTGCCCCTGGACCGGACGGCCATCTCGAGGAGGAGAGGGAGTGGAGTGTGGGTGGGGGGCCGCACCATCCCCTGGAGGATGCTGGGGGCAGGGCGGGAAGCACTGGACAGGAGGTGGTTGGAACTTCCAGACTCCTCACAACTCTGAGCTGTTGGGATTTAGGATTTTGTAGATTTAGTTGTCACTCCAAGGAAATAGTCTTCATCCGTGTAAGCCAAAATGCTTATTGTGGAATATAAGGGCATCGGGGGTTTTTGTTTTTTTTTAAAGATTTTATTTATTTATTTGACAGACAGAGAGATAGCGAGAGAGAGAACACAAACAGGGGGAGTGGGAGAGGAAGCAGGCTTCCCGCAGAGCAGGGAGCCTGATGTGGGGCTCAATCCCAGGACCCTGGGATCATGACCTGAGCCGAAGGCAGATGCTTAATGACTGCGCCACCCAGGCGCCCCAGGGCATCAGAGTTTTCAATGACTGGACTATTGAAAATTCAGGAGAGAGCCATTCTGCTAGGATCCTACTGATCAGCAGGAGCACCATGCAGCGCTCTGTGTGCTGGGGAGGTTGGGCGGGGCTCTCCATGTTCTGACAGATGCAGGAGGCAGGCAGCACTCCTGGGGGGCATAGCCAGCTGCCCCATCAGGCCTCAGGCCCATTGGAGGATGGGCTGACTGACTACTAAGGGCTGTGGGACACTTGCCTGGCCTCAGAAACATAACAGCGGTCCCCGACATCCATATCCTTCCTTCCTCCCTCCCTCCCTTCCTCCCTCACTTAAAGATTTTATTTATTTGACAGAGAGAGACACAGTGAGAGAGGGAACACAAGCAGGGGGAGCGGGAGAGGGAGAAGCAGGCTTCCCGCAGAGCAGGGAGCCCGATGCGGGACTCGATCCCGGGACTCCGGGATCATGACCTGAGCCGAAGGCAGATGCTTTAACGACTGAGCCACCCAGGCGCCCCTTTACTGACTTTCTAATGCTCTCATTTCTAGATCCTGGTTCTCAATGCTTGTCACTTGTATTTTTGCTCTCACACTCTGTCTGCATCCAACTCTGAAGGTGTTCCTTACAACCCCTTGATGAAAGTACCCTGACAGCATGTATGAATGTGATTTACAGCTGCAGACAACTGTCTATCCCAGTGAAGGCCATGCTGGCTGCATGAGACTGAGCAAATTGTTCTAGTGTCATTATGCTGTACTCTGTATATAATTACACTGTTTATATCCTGAATATAATGGAACTCAATTTTAAAAAGCCCGAAGATATGGTGGATCTTATTTTAAATAGAAACAGCACTCTTTCATAATTCATGATGTTCAAGTTCTAATGGGCTAATGAATAATTTGGAAGCAGTGCAAGCTCTTCATGGAGCTAATACGCTGGCTCTCCCAGAGGCTGTGTCTCCTTTCCCTCAGTTGCCAGAGAACTAACAGTGTCCTTGTTCTACTAGCCGTGGTTACAACCCGAGCAGGGCTGGAACAGGCCCTCGTGCTCCTGGTACACAACCTGCAGGGGATGAGGACACGCCACGGTCTCTCTGGCGGGAGTCCACTAAGTGTGTGTGTTCTGTATAAAAACACCTGCTCCCACGTTTCAAACCGTAAGTAATTGTTTCATAGCAAGAAAGGCCTTAGGACTAACTCTTCTGACTAAGCTTCTGGAGAAAGAGAAACCTGAGGCTCCTGACAAAGGCAAGTAAAGCCGATCAGGGACCTGGAGCCAGTGATGTTCTCCAGAAGTTTCTCAGGGCCCATCCCATAGATAACTTCACTTGAATCCGTATCTTTGCAACTTGGCTGCCAAGCAGCAGTGCTGATTTAACTTGAAATTTCTTTACTTTTCTATGCTTTCATGTGCAGGAGGTGCTAATGAGCAGTGAAATGATAAAAAAAAGTGTGGAGAAGCCACATGGGCAAGGGTGGAACCCGCGTCATCTAGAGTCTCCTCTGACCAAGACCCACTTGCTCATTTAAGAGTGAATCTGATGGGGCGCCTGGGAGGCTCAGTCGTTAAGCGTCTGCCTTCGGCTCAGGTCATGATCCCAGCGTCCTGGGATCGAGCCCCGCATCGGGCTCCCTGCTCTGCAGGAAGCCTGCTTCTCCCTCTCCCACTCCCCCTGCTTGTGTTCCCTCTCTCGCTGTATCTCTATCAAAAAAAAAAAAAAAAAGAGTGAATCTGAAATGATCTGACGTGCATGCAGCTCTCAAATCAAGTTAGAAATTTCATTTTATCCCATAGAAAATGTATTTAAATACGTTTAAAAGGCATGCTTTGGGAGTGACCTCTAAGGAAACCGAAACCTGGCGTGTTATACAGGTTATTGACAGCAGGCCAAGAGAAACCCCCACCTCTGTTTCTGACAGTACTGACAGAGACCACCACTAAACTACTCACTTTTTTTGGTAAAATATCTGGACTTGCAATAATGGGAAGCTATGCGAGAAGAATTTTTTAAGGATAGTACTAACCTATGAACTTTGAAGAATGTATCTCACGGGGTGCCTGGGTGGCTCAGTTGTTAAGCATCTGCCTTTGGCTCAGGTCATGATCCCAGGGTCCTGGGGTCGAGCCCCACATCGGGCTCCCTGCTCAGCGGGAAGTCTGCTTCTCCCTCTCCCACTCCCCCTGCTTGTGTTTCCTCTCTCGCTATCTCTCTCTCTGTCAAATAAATAAATAAAATCTTTAAAAAAAAAAAAAAAAAAGAATGTATCTCACGACCGGCTTCTAGTTAGTATTTTTTTTTTTTAAAGATTTTATTTATTTATTTAATTGACAGGGATGGAGAGAGAGAGAGACAGCGTGAGAGGGAACACAAGCAGGGGGAGTGGGAGAGGAAGAAGCAGGTTTCCGGCTGAGCAGGGAGCCCGATGCAGGGCTCGATCCCAGGACCCTGGGATCATGACCTGAGCCGAAGGCAGACACTTAACGACTGAGCCACCCAGGCGCCCCTTGTTAGTATTAACATGTTTTTGTACTGGCTATGTATGTGACGTGTTTGTCCACTTCATATATATGGAAACCCTGGAAGCCTACGTAACTGCCAGTCAACAGTAATGCCCTTCTAGACGTGAGCGGTGGAGCCTGTTACTGATAGGCACACATTCAGTTTTCCCAAACTCCAAACCTGAAGGTGGCCCTCAATGTGGTAAAGTATCTAAAAACAGTAATTAAGCATTTTGACTGGGTCACATGTCTCTTAAACTGAATTTCTGTATCATAATAGCAGCTAAACATAACACGAATAATAGTCAGGCCCTATTCCAAACACTCCATTTGCATGAACTCATGTACCCACCCCTACAACACTGTGAGGTAGATACCAGTATCCCTAACTTACAGATGAGGAAGCTGCAGCACAGAGAGGCTGAGTAACTTGGCCAAGGTCACACAGTCATTAAGCGGCCCAGTCAGGATTCGAACCCAGGCCGTCTGCACTGGGGCCTACACTCTTAGCGCTGTGCTCTCGCCTGGTGCCCACCTCCAGTTAACAGCCCAGGGGTATGTGGTGCCTTTTTAGCAGTCTCTCCCTGTGCCGGTCAGGTTCTCAGAAGAACCTCACGAAGGGAGTCGGGTCAGGTTTAAACTTGTTCTCCCTGCCCCTCGGGCCCCTGAACCTGAACCACGGCACTCAGCCACGGTCGGCTTCACACTGGAGTCAGGCAACTTGTCCCCACCTGATGGTGAACACTGCCGTGCCGGAAGTCAGCTGGCCCTGGGAGCCTTCAGAGAGCACACTAGCGTTTTCCATGAATCGATACGCACACACAGTAGTGTTTACTTAAGATTCCGTCCTGCCAGCTGGAGACTCCAGAAGCGGGTATTCTGAAACAAAAGGATCTGGACCTCTGGGATCTTGCTTTATTTCTCCAATTTCACATTTAGATAAACATAAATTCCTACCTCTCATTTTAACTCTCGGTTGATGATTTTTATTCTCAAACATCTTAGTATTAGCAAGCATGGTCCACTTGTAACTGTTTCCCCAATTTTTTTCCAAAGGACACCCTTGACTCCAGCTAAAGCTTTTAAAAGCAATGAAATAAACGCATTTGTATGTGCTCCTAATGCAAATAAGCGAGTAAGTCCACACTTATCACTGCTTTCAAGACAATACTTTAAGGGAGATTTTTAGCAGATTACCTTGAGCTGGAAGTAAAATAGGAATCATCATTGTCATCACTGTACTTCTTTCTGGGTTTTGCTATGATTGGTGTTTCCTGTTCAATGGTCTGCATATCTGAAGTCACGGAATGTGAAATACCACTTGAGAAAATAGAGAATAAAATGGGAAAAAATTACATTCGTTTATGAAGACACTTGTGTTCACCAAAGAATGAACTATTTATTTATTTATTTAAAAGATTTTATTTATTCATTTGAGAGAGAGACACACAGCGAGAGGGAACACAAGCAGGGGAAGTGGGAGAGGGAGGAGGAGGCTTCCCGCTGAGCAGGGAGCCCAACGTGGGGCTCGATCCCAAGACCCTGGGATCATGACCTGAGCTGAAGGCAGACGCTTAAAGACTGAGCCACCCAGGCACCCCTATTTTTTTTTTTTTTAAGATTTTATTTATTTATTTGACAGAGAGAGAGAGAGCACAAGCAGGGGGAGTGGCAGAAGGAGAGAGAGAGGGAGAATCAGGCTCCCTGCTCAGCAGGGAGCCTGATGCGGGGCTCGACCCCAGGACCCTGAGATCATGACCTGAGCTGAAGGCAGACGCTTAACGACTGAACCACCCAGGCGCCCCTGAACATTTTAATCTATACTCTCAGCAAAAACGAAAATGTATTAGTGGGGTTAAAAACATGAGCAATAAAAACAGTACATATATTTTTTGGCATCAGCATTGAAAAGCCTTAGTGAGGACTGGAACGAATTACACAAAATACAGTCACACATATCAGTTCTGTCTGTGGCATCTGCTTAGCAACAAGTCAGGCCTATTTCCTTTTTTTTTGAGACTCAAATTTGGAATTTTTCATGCTGTGTTGACTATGAAAGGAAAAAATTGAAGAAAGGAAGGAATCACAAAAAAATGCTTTTCAAGCTGACGTTAATAAGGAAAAGCCATTCGCGATCAGCAACCCGGTTTAAATCCTGGAAGCCACATACCTTCTGCAGTTTCCAAATCCCATGCCAAGTCTCTCTGATTCTATCTTTTTTTTGCCACTCATGTTCACCTTCTCGTCCTTTTTCATTTGAATTTCGAGATCCTTATAGGCTAATCGCAGTGATGAAACGCTGCCAGAAAAACCAAATGCTCCTTAATTTAGCTTTAATTCTGTTTTCTCAAGTTAAAACACTAAGCAAAATTAAACACATCGCTTATAATTTGAGCTTCGTGCTTCTTTCCATAATTAATAAATAGGAAGGCAAACTGGCATTTTATCCCCCCCAAAGGTCTTTTTTGAGTAGATGCTCAAGAAAATTTGAATGCGTTTACCGCCACTTTTTGTTGCTGCTGATCCTACCTTACTGTTCTAGTTCATATCAGCTATCACCATATGATAATGGTTTATACCACCTGCTACATAATAACATAATATATACTGAAATTATGTTATATAGGATAGTAAAAAAGCAGAATTCCTTATGTGGATTAATATTTTATTTATACTTCTACATTACATAGCAAAAGTATAAGGTTAGTCTCACTGGTTTGCTTGGTTTAAGTATATGCACACACACACACACATACTTAAATATATTTGACTTTACAAACAGATGACTTAAGAAGCAGTTACTTAATTGCAAAAGGATTCTTTAGAGGATCTCTATATGAGGCTTCTGAGAGCATTAAAAACTGTGCTACAAGCCAGACACTAATGATCTGCTTATCAAACGCCTGTTACAAATGATGCACCAAAGGGGTAAAAAGAGGTATACAACACCGCCCCTGACTCCCAGATTTCTAAACATGTTATAAATACTTAATTTTTTGTAAAGAAAACTATGCCTGTATCAGCAGTAACAAGAATATTTTATATTAGTAAGACAGCAACAAAGTATCGGGGTCCTGAAAAGTGCTGTACCTATTTTATCAGGAACTGTAAGCTATTATCCATTTTCTAAAATTGTGTAAAATGTCATGAATTCCTCGTAAGGCACCGTGTAAATTCCATAATAATATAAATACATTTCTCTGTATTAACAGGGAAAGACAATGATATTTCTTACTAGAAAAACATACTCAATAGGAAAAAAAATGCTTGTCTGCTGTTTTCTTCCTTCATAAGCAGGATTTGTTTTGTTTTGATCTGGCAGTTTGCTCTCTTTACTATTATTCCTACAGAACAGATTCTAGCAATGTACTCAATTTTATCACTCAGAAAATACATAATAGTTTTGAGTATACTTTTTGGAGGAAGACAACAATCTGTTGAAAATCATGAACAGATAAAACTGTAGCAACAGATTCTTCTGGAGAAGACGAATGGATGGGGAGAAAGGTTCTACTAGGGAGAGAGGAGACGGGAGAGCTTTCCTTCTCCGGATCTGACACGGGACTGGGTCTCTTGCCCATGAAAAGCATGCACTTGACTGCCCAGGCTTCTGGTAACATGGGGCCAGCAGCACTGATGGAATTAAGAAGTCAGGCCTCGGTGTTTCTCAGAAGTGCGGGAGCCCTTCCCAGTCCCGGCTCAAGGGAGGGCTTGCAAGCCACTCAGATCAAGCAAGGGAAGCAGCTCTGCCTCTTCCTACTCTCCCCACCAACTGTGCAGACTCCTCTGAGGGTGGGTCCAGGAACTGCCTGCCTGGAGGTGAGGATGAGGCTAGTACACAGTCAGAATTTCACAGGCTGATGAGAGAGAAACAGGCGGCTCCTGACAGTCTACTGAACTGAAATAACTATTCACAGCCATTAAAACATGAACTTGCAGAATACCCTTGTCAAATCTGAAAGATAAAACATGTACTTTCTCAGGCTGGCGCAGCCCTAATTTGGTGGAAATGGGCTACCCCGGGTCTGTGAGGGAGGGCAGTGTTTTGGGCACAGTGGTATGGCTGTCCTGAGCGTGGCCAAGAAAGCTGTCAAAGCAGGTTCCCAAGTCAGATCCATAAACACCCCAGGGCCCACATCTCTGCATATATGCTGTACCCAACCATCCTAATGAAAGCTACCAGTTAAGGCTGGTGTGCTAATCTCCATCCCCTGGACCTGCAGGGAGTGATGGGATCAGGCACTGGATTTTACACGCTCCAGGAAAACCACTCATGAGCAATCTGCACACAGCCCACTCCCAAACATCAAGAGAAGCAGTCTAGAGCCTCAGATTTGACCTTCCGCCCCATTCCCCAGGGTCAAGAACCTAGCCTAGAGAAATTAAAGTGAGGTCTGTGACCGCTGGAAGTACATTTTACAGAAAGCATTTCAAACCATATCTAGCCTAACTACAATTTAGTGCTGCCCCCTATGTTCTTCGAACTGAATGACAAGGAGAAATAACTTCAAATTCTCCGGGCTTAGCAACTAGAAAGCCCCTTGGCAAACTGTTAGTATGAATAGTAAGAAAGCACACTGATTGAGCACTTACTCTGCACCAGGCACTGTCTGATGCACTTTGATGAGCATTAACTAAGTCAATCTTCAAAGCATTAAACCTCATAAAATAAGCATTATTATTTTCTTCATGATACAGTCTATAGTAACTCAAGTCAAAACTGATAGAATACACATGAAAAGAAGAGAAAATACCATAAAAGTAAAATAAACACACATAAGAACTAGGAACCCAAGCCAGCTCTCCTTTCTGTGTTGTGTTCACCCTGCTTTCTTCTCTCCCAGAGATCTTTTATACCCAGCACATGCACTCTCCAGACGGCCATACTGCTCTTCTGTTTCCAGCACAAAAAAAGCCTCTCAAGAGCCTTCAGTGTATACTTACAGCCATTCTCTTGACTGGCCTCCTGGCTTCCAGTTTCTGCCCCATTCTGTGTGTCCTGATCTCACTACCAAACTCACCTTCCAAAATACACCCCTTCATTCCAGTGCTCCTCTCAGATAAAATGTAAATGACTGGCCTGACTTAAAGGGACTCCACATTATCATTCCAATTTCTCCAATCCAGGCAGCCCCCCTCCCCAGCACCAAAAAATAAATAAATAAATAAAACATAAAAAATTAAATGGCATCTAGAAAGCAAACCTCAGAGTTGTTTGATTAACAGTTTTATTCACTAAAAACACACTACTAGAACTAAGTTAAACTTACACTGATTCTTCCTTAGGTGCCACCCCGGCCAGAAGGTCTTCCTGTTCCTTCATCTTATCTACAGCTTGGGCTTGTTTTTCAATTTCGTTAAAGCATGTATTCGCCACTTTCTGGGCCCCCAAACTTCCTTTTTTGGCTCCAAGCTAGAAGATAGATAAAATTAGATTCTACCCAAACTGTCTGAAAGCTTTTGCAGCAACAGCTAACATGACTAAGGTTTGTTACCTGCCAGGCACTGTGACCTGCACTTTACATTCATTCTCTCACTTAGTCCTCACAACCCTGTCAAGCTGGCATTGCTATTAGCCCCAGTTCACAGGTGAGCAACTCAAGCTCAGGCAAGTTAAGTGACCTGACCAAGATCACACAGCCACGAGGTGACAAAGTGGCTGCCTTGGTGCCTGCCTCCAGAACACAAGCTCTACAGGGGATCGTGTTCTCTGAAAGCTCAGTGGACGACAACCCTCCAAGCCTCGAGTGAAGGCATCGCTTACAGAAATGCACACATGACAGGAACTTCCATGGAGCCTCCACTGATTTTTTTTTTTTAATTCTGTCAACAGAAAAATGTCGTCCAATACTCATTCTAGAAAATCTTCACTACGTCTAACATTCACCTCATTGCACAAAGCATAAGTTCTTTATCAAAGCCACATGTATTATACACAATATGGGAAGTGACAAAGGTGGCTTTCTCGAGAGCGTGGACTGTTTTAGAGCCGAGCCACCAGGTATTTACACACGATACTCACTCCTCTTTTAGCTTGATTTGGTTTCTTTTTTATGATAGAGGACACCTCTGCCAAAAAATAAAAAAAAAAGTCAGACCAATAGAAATACGTAATTTTTCTATTTTTAGTGTATCTTCTAAAAAATCTTAAGATACACATATCATTATTTAAGAGACTATAACATTTTCCACATGGGTTTGTCACCCAGAAGACTCAGGCATATGAGTGTATTTTACATTAAGAGCTTGGTTAAATGGAGTTTCTTGGTATTTCCAAGTAGTATCCAAACTCAGAGAAAATGTCTTCTGCATACCACACTGAAGAGAAATAAAGAGCCTGGCCTGACCCCATACACTGCTTTCTTCAGGAGCATTTTTTATGTATATTAGAACAAACTCTCTTATTAAGATCTGCTCTTCAAAAACTTTTAGAATTACTTTAAAATATAAAGTTAGCCAGGCATTATGTATACAACTAAAGCAGTGCTGTGCTTTTTCACCTTGACTTATATACAGATTTTATAGTATTAATCAATAAGAATTACAAAGCATTCCATTATTTTAGTAGCAGTACTTTCTAAATTGTACAAAAATATATGATGCTTTAAGATAGAGCTCCTTAAACATTGTTTTCTGGGTAAACTTTAATCATAGATTATATAGTCTATGTTTAAGAGACTCAGTAAGAATGAAATTTTAACTTTTATCTTACAAAGATGAGAATGTGCCTTAACAGGAAAAGGCAGCATAAAACCACAAACAACAAAAATTCAAATTTAGCCCTAATGAGAATATAACATCATTACATTTCAAGTATGAAAAAGATATTTATGCAAGTTTTTCTTTCCAGCACCTCCTTTTGGATCCGTGTGGCAGTAGTCACATAATCGGCCCCCAACCTCCTACAAGGCTATTAACATAGGATGAAAATATCCAGAACATTTCTAATAGTTTAACTGTTTTTCACCAAAGTACTTGCTTTCCAATTAATGCCACGTAATATGCACTAATTTCAGAATATAATACCCTAATAATGAAACATTGAAGATCACTGTAAAATCAGAAAGAGAAAAAAATACTAGGAGTTCTTGAGTCAACGGGAATGACAGGGCTGCTCTGCCTTCTGCTCATGCTGGGAACATAAACCAGCACAGCACAAATGAGCAGATCAACAGCATCAGCAGCGACCTCATCCAGGTACACCAGCTGCTGCAATTCACGGGCCGCAAGCTGCCTAAAACGGAAAACACTTTTTTGCTCAATAAAATCTTATTAACAGATTAACGGTCATGACGCTGTATTAGTCTACAAAATCTAGGCAGAATGTAAAGATGGGATTCATTCTTTGTCTTAATGAATCTCACTCTTTAAATCAGAATATAGAGTCATAGGCCTATTACCTGAAGCCCCCTTCGTTGGTGCATTAAGACCTTCCACGCTCGGTGCTTGTTCTGGTCCACCTGCAAGTTAAATATATGATATTAATGCAGAAAATATACTCATCAAACATTCTTTTGAATATGTAATAAATTCTACTTTCTTGGTTCCACATATCTTACCCAATTTTGCCAATGATTGTTTTTCTGTCTAGCTCCATATTCTATTTTATCATTATAAGAATTTTGATTAAAAAAAATTTTGATTTAAAAGTCCATTGAAATAGAAATATACTTTTTATTCAGTTGCTTTATAGGATAAAAATGTTCGTGGTCTCTCTAATTAGTATCATTCAAAATTCTACCTTATGATCGGGGCGCCTGGGTGGCTCAGTTGGTTAAGCGACTGCCTTCAGCTCAGGTCATGATCCCAGGGTCCTGGGATCGAGTCCTGCATCGGGATCCCTGCTCTGTGGGGAGCCTGCTTCTCCCTCTCCCACTCCCCCTGCTTATGTTCCCTCTCTCGCTGTGTCTCTCTCTGTCAAATAAATAAATAAAATCTTTAAAAAAAAAAAAAAATTCTACCTTATGATCTGGTGTTTTAAAATAAACTGTTCTGAGATACCTAGTACATATGTGGATTAAACACCCAATATATGTTAACATTTGTAAATTCCAACACCAATCGTATCAGTGATAGAAACCTAAATTTCCAGGTGCCAGAAAAATCTGCCGTTTTCTACTTTGCCTGAAAAATTATTCTGGTTAGGAAACTCTATTATGTCTTCATTAAAAAAATCATTTGTTATCTTGATTTTATTCCTTATTTTATTCCTTTAAAAATTAATAAACAAGGAGCATCTGGATGGCTCCGTCGGTTGAGCGTCTGCCTTCAGCTCAGGTCAGGATCCTGGGGTCCTGGGATCAAGTCCCGCTGAGCAAGGAGCCTGTTTCTCCCTCTCCCTGCCGCTCTGCCTACTTGTGCTCGCTCTCTCTCGTCAAGTAAATAAATAAAATCTTTGACAAAAAATGAATAAACAAGATGTAGTCTATTCAGGCGATGGGATATTACTTGGCCAGAAAACGGAATGATGTGCTGATACCTGCTACCACATGGATGGACCTGGAAAACATGATGCTAAGCTCAAGAAGCGGGTCACAGAAGACCCTACCTCGTAGGATTCCATTGATACGAAATGTCTAGAACAGGCAAATCTTTAGAGACAGAAGCAGACTGGCAGTTGCCAGAGGCTGGAGGCAGGGCAGAATGGGGGCTGATCCTCGGTACAGGCTTTCTCTGGGGGCTGCTGAAAATGTTCACACCTTGTGAATATACAAAAACCACTGAGTTCAACAGTTTAAAAAAGGGTAAATTTTATGATGTGTGAATTATATGTCAATAAAGCTGTTATTTAAGGGGTGCCTGGGTGGCTCAGGCGGTTGAGCGTCTGCCTTCGGCTCAGGTCATGGTCCCGGGGTCCTGGGATCGAGCCCCGCGTCGGGCTCCCTGCTCCGCGGGAAGCCTGCTTCTCCCTCTCCCACTCCCCCGCTTGTGTTCCCCCTCTCACTGTCTCTCTGTCAAATAAATAAATAAAATCTTTAAAAAAAATAAAAAATAAAAAAAAATAAAGCTGTTATTTAAAACAGGGCAGGCCTGACAGAGGTTTAGAGGAAACATACTGGTCTTACTTTTTATAAATATTTATTTATTTATTTATTTATTTATTTATTTATAAAGTTTTACTTATTTGGGGCGCCTGGTGGCTCAGTGGGTTAAGTGTCTGACTCTTGATTTTGGCTCAAGTCATGATCTTAGGGTCGTGAGATCAAGCCCCATGTTGGGCTCCGTGCTGAGCATGGAGCCTGCTTAAGATTTTCTCTCACCTTCTCTCTCTGCCCCTCCCCGCTTGCGTGCTCTCTCTCTCTCTCTCTCAAAAAAAGATTTATTTGGGGGTGCCTGGGTGGGTCAGGTGGTTGAGCGTCTGCCTTCGGCTCAGGTCATGATCCCAGGATCCTGGGATCAAGCCCCGCATCGGGCTCCCTGCTCTGCGGGAAGCCTGCTTCTCCCTCTCCCACTCACCCTGCTTGTGTTCCCTCTCTTGCTGTGTCTCTCTCTGTCAAATAAATAAATAAAATCTTAAAAAAAAAAAAAAAAGATTTATTTGAGAGAAAGAGAGCGTGCGAGCAGGGTGAGGGGCAGAGGGAGAGAGGGAGAGAAAGAGAATCCTCAAGCAGACTCCCTGCTGAGCAAGGAGCTGGACGTGGGGCTCAATCCCAGGACCTCGAGATCACAACCTGAGCCAAAATCAAGAGTTGGCTGCTTAACCCACTCAGCCACCCAGAAGCCCCTATAAAAAAGGTAAACTCTAGTTAAGGCATTTAAGAAGGCAAAGCAGGATGATTGAGAACCATGGCATTTTGTGGAAAAAGGACTGACTACACATTTCTTGATTACCTACCATGGGCCAGGAACTGCTGGCCACTGGAGGAATGCCAGGGAATAAGGATACTTAAGCAGAGGATGTCAGGACCCACATTCCATTGGTCAAAACTCTTTTGCTCTTCCTTTTCATGATGTAATCCTTAAGTTGACTCAAGACTGCACCCTGTCCCCACCGGGGAGCTGAGAGCTGCTGGTGAGAGACTGGTCGGGAAGGAAGGAGGAAATTCTGCTGCAGGGGCAAGTGGCTGTGGAATTTCTAAACAATAAAACTTTCAGGAGAACTTTCCAGCTAAGAATGATGGAGGCTCAGTTGGCTGAGCGTCCGGCTCTTGGCTTGGGCTCAGATCATGATCTCAGGGTTGTGAGATGGAGCCCCGCACCGCATCTGACTCTGCACTCAGCGGGGAGCCTGCTTGAGGATCCTCTCTCTCCCTCCGCCCCTCCCCACACACACATGCAAGCGCGTGTGTTCTCTCTCTAATAAATAAATAAATCTTAAAAAAAATAAAATATGTACAACAAAATCTTGCTCTGTATTTAGTTACCTTAGTTTCCTGTTAGTAAAACAAATAAGACACCTGGACTCCAGAGGGCGCATGGGCCTCCGTGGCATGTGAGCTTCAACCTCAAAAGGCCTTTTAGGCTAATTAGTTGTAATAATAACAATATTCAAATTGTCATCTGTACTGTTGGAAGGTACAAAGGCCACCTTTTCTCTGTGTTAGTCAGGAGAGTGTTGGGATTATTTTTTTTCTTCTGTCCTTACGGATAATGACAAACCGATCAATGGTGCAGGCAGATTCCTTATTTTAAGAAACCACCTCTCCGTGGAGTTGCTCACAGCCCAGTGAGCTAATGGGGCACAGTCATTCCCAGAACCAAGGTGTGCTACACTATGGGGGAGACCAGACACATGAATGTGGTAGGGACCTGGAGTGCCCATGGGATGGACGTGGTCTCTCTGAGGAGAGGCCCTCGAGCAGGACAGAGGTAGCCACGTGGCAACGAGGGGGGACAGTGCAAGCAAAACCTAAAGCAAACATAGGAAAGAACCAAAGGCCCGGTGTGGCTGCAGTGTGGTGCAGGTCTAAGAAACTGAAAAGCCACTTCGAGGTGTGTTCTTAGCAAACATTTAGGGTCATATGTACAAAAAATGAAATGCAACCGTAGGTTGCAAATCATACAAAACCCAGCCATGCCAGAGTCCTTTGCACATTAAGGAAACAAGTGTTTTGCCTATATATGAATTGCAAGCGTTTATCACTTGTCTTTAAAGCATTTCTTCAGAACTGAATTGTTATATTTGTAATAGATTCATTAATCTCTTCTTCTCATGAGGCTTGAATATGTATAGAAGGGCTTCCCCATTCCAGGATGACAGAAAAGCTTCACCGATGTTTCTTCTAGTAACCTCACATTTTCATGACATATATTTAATCTTTGATCTAACTGAATTTAGGTTGATGTAAAGAGTAAAGAAGGAATTCTGCTTTATTTTATTATTTTTTCCAAAATGCTGGACACTTGTCCCAACTCCATTCACTGTTCCCCGGGATGTAAAATGTTCCCATCCTGGCTTGCTGATAGGTCAACTCCTAAGACCAGTAACATTAAAAACAGGCATCCTAAAATCTGCTGTTTGATGGAATCTCAGACATTCCTCCCCTTATACCTAGAATTCAGTACAAATGAAGTGACTTTTCCTTCCAGCATGCTCCCTGACCCCACTCTCACAGAGACCCGAATGATAACTTTCCTAGGACTCTCTTCTTGATAAATACCAGTCACTCCCCAACCCTCCAGCAAAACCATTGCCAGAAAGTTTCTCAAGTAAGAATCTTAGTCATAAAGTTGGTTGAATGTTTGGTCTTCCTATTACACGAAGTTCCCAAAAGTAGTTCCAGGCTCAGTTTATACCAGCCCACACTTCTGGCACCACACCCCAGGGGTTCCCTGCACAGTTGTCAAATGGTGCTGTTAATTTACACGAACTTTCTGGCTGACAAAAAATGTTCAATCTTGGGGTGCCTGGGTGGCTCAGTCAGTTAAGCGTCTGCCTTCGGCTCAGGTCATGGTCCCAGGGTCCTGGGATTGAGCCCCGCACCAGGCTCCCTGCTCAGTGGGGAGTCTGCTTCTCCCCCTCCCTCTGCCTGTCGCTCCCCCTGCTTGTGCTCTGTCAAATAAATAAAACCTTTAAAAAAAATGAAAAATAAAAAAAAATTCAATCTTAAAACAAAAAAATGTTGAGGTCTGATCCTTGTTATTCATATCACATAAATGATTTTTTAAAATGCAAGCAATTGATATAAGTATATTTACAATAAATATAATCCTGGGGCACCTGCGTGGCTCAGTTGGTTAGGCGTTCAACTCTTGGCTTTGGCTCAGGTCATGATCTCAGGGTCCTGGGATCAAGCCCTGCATCTGGCTCTGCTTGAGATTCTCTCTCTCCCTCTCCCTCTGCCCCTCCTGCTCATGCTCTCTCTCTCAAATAATAAATAAAAATCTTTTAAATAAATAAATAGATAAAATCCTATGATAAAATCACCGAATGCAAATCATTAGATATCAACTATTTACAGGATCATTTTTAAAATTGAAATCTTACTTTCTGAGTATGGAAGTAACATATATTCATTACAAAAGTTCACTCACTTCACAACTATATCAAGTTGAAGGTAAAAGTAATTCATTCAGTAATTTCATTCTCCAGTTAACAATTTGGTATGTGTCTTCCAGAATGTTTTCTTTTTTTTTTTTTTTTAAATATAAACAGGAATTTTCTGTGTCTTACATAGGAATCATTCTTATGACTTGTATTTTTAAAGATTTTATTTATTTGAGAGAAAGAAAGAGAGAGATGGAGGAGGGGCAGAGGGACAGGGAGAAGCAGACTTCGTGCTGAGCAGGGAGCCCGATGTGGGGCTCGATCCCAGGACCCGGAGATCATGACCTGAGCCAAAGGCGTCAGACGCTTAACCAACTGAGCCACCCAGGCGCCGCACCAGAATGTTTTCTGTGTGTATATATAATTTTTTATAAAAATGAGATCATAGGGTGCCTGCGTGGCTCAGTTGGTTAAGCGACTGCCTTCGGCTCAGGTCATGACCCTGGAGTCCCGGGATGGAGTCCCGGGATGGAATCCCGGGATGGAGTCCCGGGATGGAGTCCCGCATCGGGCTTCCTGCTCAGCAGGGAGTCTGCTTCTCCCTCTGACCCTCCCCCCTCTCATGCTCTGTCTCATTCTTTCTCTCTCAAATAAATAAATAAAATCTTTAAAAAAAAAAAAAAAAGAGTCAGACGTTCAACTGACTGCACCACCCAGGCGCCTGACGGATCTTATTTTCTAATAGTTTCGTAGCGTGCCATTGAACCAAAGGAGAGCATTACAGGACAGTTCTGAAGACTACCTTCATTATTAGCTGGAGTGGTTTCCACATTCCTTGGTGGCAAAGAAGATGCTTCTGGTTGTGCTGATGCCCATCCTGTGCCGCTCGCCTGCAGCAAGGTGAAAAAGTCATCAGTAAGCAAAGCAAGAAAAGTCACAACAAAGTCAAAGCAGGGGAAAAGCTAATAATTTAATAGTTACCTTCTAAGTACCTGGATTAACAGGAAGAAAAGGTAATATTAAAACATGCCTATTCTTTTTTTTTTTTTTTAAGATTTATGTATTTATTTGAGAGAGAGAGAGAGAGAGTGCACATGCGGGAGGAGGGGCAGAGGGAGAGAGAGAGACAGAGAGAACCTCAAGCAGCCTCCCTGCTGAGTGTGGCGCCTGATGCAGGGCTCAATCTCACGACACATGAGATCATGACTCGAGCCGAAATTAAGAGTTGGACACTTAACTGACTAAATCACCCAGGTGCCCCAGGAGCACACTTATCTTGATGAGCACCGGGTATTGTACAGAGTTGTTGAATCTTTATATTGTATACCTGAAACTAATATAACACTGTGTTAATTATACTTCAATTATGGTCACCAAATCATTGATGAATCAGGTGGTGCCTACCAGGCTTTTCTGCAGTAAAATTACCATTTTCCCCTTTCCCATCCTCTAGTCTTGGGAAACAAGTCACCAAGTTTGGTCTGCACTCAAGGGGAGGGGGTGAAGCTCCACCTCCCGAAGGGCAGAGTTCTCTCTATATATACATGATTGAATTTCTCTTTAAGGAAGATCGTCCCTTCTCTTCATTTATTTATTCAATCATCTATTTATATTAGTGTAGACTCATGGATATTTATTTTATTCTTTGGGTTATGGTCATTATTTTGCTATTGAAATTGTTCCAGCTTTGACCATTGGGAACTCTTTCCGGTTGGTTTCCGAGTCCTTTAGACAGCTCTCCTCTATCTGCCACCCCCTCTGCCAGCACTACAAGATGCTCCAGGCTCAATTGCCCCAGCAGCCCCAGGCCTAGAATCTGCCATTTCTCCACAGGTAGCCCTGGTTCCTCTTGGTGCTCACCCAGGGACACATACACATACGTCATCGGTGCTCCACCGTGTGTCTGCAAGTGTGTGTTACAGAGACTCACTAAAACAACGTGAGTTCATATTAATACTAATTCTAACACTCGTCCACATCAAACTGTTCCTCTCTCTCCTCCTTTTAGCCTGTTGTTTCTATTCCTAACACTTCCCAGCCACTACCTGTGGATATTCTAGACCTTGTTGCATATTAAACAAGAGGTGCAGACTGTGACAGAATACCTCATCTTTTCTTTTGTTTTCTGTTCCCTTCTTTGTTGATAACTACTTCTTGTAAGTACTATGTCAATGAACATGTATGTGCACATTATAATAACAAAAAAATCAAGGGACAGCAATTTCATGTCTGTACTTGAAAATTGGTTAAAGAATGGGTTGTACAGCAGTTAAGCAAATGTGCCCCCTCCCCAGTGGGACTGGGAGGAGGGAGGGCAGCGAACAGACACCTGAGGCTCTAAGCCAGGGGTCTGCACACATTTCCCTAAAGGACCACTCAAGAAATATTTTAGGCTGTGGAGGCCTTATGTTCCCTAATCTTAGTGATTTTGGGATGATTATTGTTGCTCCTATCAGACCACAACAATGAAGACCATGGTTCTGGCCGCTTTTACTGGAGGCTCACTCTGTGCCAGCTCCTAATTCCTTGCATCAGTATTTAAGTAGGGAGCCCAACGCAGGGATTGAACTCACAACCCTGAGACCAAGACCTGAGCTGAGATCAAGACTCAGATACTTAACTGACCGAGCCACTCAGGCACCCCCTGACTTCATTCTTACAATAGCCCTCAGATACCCTCGATGTACACAGCTAAACTGGGACAATGAGATTCAAACCCCTATTAAAATTTAGGTTTAGGGGGCGCCTGGGTGGCTCAGATAGTTAAGCGTCTGCCTTTGGCTCAGGTCATGATCCCAGGGTCCTGGGATCGAGTCCCACATCGGGCTCCCTGCTCCTTGGGAGCCTGCTTCTCCCTCTGCTTCTCTCTCTCTCTCTCTGTCTCTCATGAATAAATAAATAAAATCTTTAAAAAAAAAAAAATTAGGTTTAGGGGCGCCTGGCTGGCTCAGTCAGTTAAGTGTCCAACTCTTGATTTTGACTCAGGTCATGACCCTAGTGGTGTGGGATTGAGCCCTGCATCCGGCTCCACGCTCAGTGGGGAGTCTGCTTGAGATTCTCTCTCTCCCTCTGCCCCCCACCTCCGCTGGCATGCTCTTAATTAAATATTTAGAAAAGAAAAAGTCTTCATTCTTTGTCAGGTCCATAGTTCTCAGATGAACTGTGGCAGACTACTAGTAATAACTTCTCAGCCTCCCTGGCAGCTAGGTATCTATGTACAACTAAATTCTGGCTACTAGGATGTGAGCACAAGTGATGTGCACCACCTCTACATTTTTTTTAGTAAAAGGATGGGGCACTTGCTTTCCTAGATGCTTGCCCCCTTTCCATTGCTGTGAAAGGTCATGAGCTGGAGCAGACACTTTGGACCATGAGACGGAAGCCAACATGTGGAGAAGAGCTAAATAAATCCCTCCCTCGGTCAACCCTGGACAGCCAACTTCGGAACCGCTGATGGAAATTCATTTCTATCTTGTTTAAGAGACTGTATTTCAGGGTTGTTTGTTACAGAAACTTAGCCTGTCTCCTAAGTGAAACATTTAAATATATGCCCTTTAGGAATGTAAGAGTAAGCATACTTTAAAATTATATAAAGCATAATACATACCTCAGGAGAAGCATGAGAGGCAAAAAAATCTTCCTCTTTCGGTGGAGGGGTCAAAGGTGGAACCACACAGCTATCCAGCCAGAGCTAGAACAAAAACACAAAGCTCTGCTTAGCCCTTCACCTGGCTTTAATGGGTTTTATTTAAGTGTCTCACTCCCTTTCTAGATCTGTTTGCTAAAGATCAGTACTTTCCACTGTTATACTGTCAGTAACAGGCCTATGCAGGGCCCCTGAGCACATTTTAGTAATGTATCAATCCAGTCACTTTTGCGTCCAAACCTTAAGGACGTCAAGTACCAGATTCACAAGCTGTTCCTGAAAAGGAAAGATCGAGGACTTAATTTCTAAGTGCAGGTTCCAAAGTACGGTCAATCCTCATTAACAGTGGTTTCCATATTTGCATATCCACCTACTTGCCACAATTTACTTGTGACCCCCAAATCGGTACTTGAGACCCTTCTGCGGTCCTTCACAGACGTGTGCAGATCAGCAAAGAATTTGAGCCACCCAAGGTACACGTTCCCAGCTGAGATCGAACAAGGTGATGCTCTGCCTTCTCACATTAGCTCTCACACTGTAAACAAGTGTCCTTTTCGTGGCCTATTTAGAGCCACATTTTTCACATTTTTGTGCTTTGTTGGTGTTTTCACTGTTTAAAATGGGCCCTAAGCCTAGTGCTGAAGTCCTACCTAGGGCTCCTAAGCACACAGAGGCTGTGATGTACCTTATAGAAAAAATACAGTGTTAGGTAAGCTTCATTCAGGTATAAGTCATATATAGTGCTGTGGGCAGTGAGTTCAATGTCAGAGTCAATAATTATATATTAGTAATATATTAAATTGTGTATATTATCTATTAAATATTATTATATCCACATGCTATTAAGTATTATATAATTAATTATATAATATTTTCAATAAGGTGTCCTTAAGCAGAAGCCCATGTAAAATAAGGTTATGTATTGCTCTGTTGATGGAAACGTCGTGACCAGAAGCTCGTAGGAACCTAGCCCTCTATTTCCCCTAGGAGTGATGCTTCAGCATTTCCAAATTCAGGGCTCACAGCAACCTCACAGAGCGTAACTTCCACGAACAATGAGAAGCAGCTACAGGTTGTTTCCTTGCAAGAGAATCCTGTTAGAAGGTTTTACTGTCCGGAGTGGTTAAAATCACTTCTTCTACTGAAACAAATGTTCATCTGTTCATCTGAAGGAGGCGATCCAACCCGCCAGCGCCTTACGTCAGTGCCGTGCTTCCGCGTTGCCTGGGAGGCCAGCGACTTGATCCTCTCCCGATAGAGCTGAGCAGCGCGGCTGTTGTACTTGGCCTTGGTGTCGCTGGTGGCACAGCCGTGTTGATGGAAAAAGGAAGACTACAGAGGAAAACACATGAATTAGAGTAATACTGCATTAAATCTAACGCAACCGAAAACATTGCTTCATGTTGTGAAGGAAAATACTATTATATCAATATGCTAGAAATACGCTAGAAAACACTAGTGAAAACAAAATTAAACCACATATTTTACAAAAATAATTTAAACCACACAATTTAGGGGCGCCTGGTGGCTCAGTCATTAAGCGTCTGCCTTCAGCTCAGGTCATGATCCCAGGGTCCTGGGATCGAGCCCCGCATCGGGCTCCCTGCTCCATGGGAAGCCTGCTTCTCCCTCTCCCTCTCCCTCTCCCCCTGCTTGTTCTCTCTCGCTCGCTGTGTCTCTCTCTGTCAAATAAATAAATAAATCTTTAAAATAAAATAAACCACACAATTTAATATAAACCTCTTCTTGTAAAAGGAATGCCTTCCACACACGCAACATTAGTATTTCAGTAAAACTGGACATGAGACTCGCGTTACAAAACAAAATTGCTGGCCCTTCATTCCTCCATTAAAGCACCTCTGTCATTCCAGGTTGTTACTTTAGGGGACACTTTCCACTCTGGACTACTTTTAGTTCATGAGAAATTCATTTCAGTTGGAATTCCACTAATTGGAATTGGTTATTCCAATTAGTGGAGCTATGCTGACCTTCACCTTGCCCAGAACTATCTCTTCATAAACAGAAACCGCAGCATAAGCAAAGCGGTAAAACAAATGCTTATACACTTAAGAGGAAACTGTGTTCAACCACCTCATGAGGGTCCATATATACAGACATGAATTACAGAATTCATATCTTAATTCAGCCAGGTGTTCTAAAAACCTGTATGAGCAACCCAATTTGATTAATCGGATATACTGAAATTTGTAAATGAAGTTTTACATATTTGAGGATCCTTATTTAGGTTTGTAAGAGGGGTTAGGGAAATCTGCTCTTGTAAAACTAAGCTAATTGGACACTTAAAAAGTTATTTTTTTACCCAGAAATTATTAAGTTAGGAATGGGGATCTCATTTGTCTTGTTCGTCACTATATCCCCACACCTAGCCCAGAGCTTTGTGTGGACAGGGTATTTCACAGATTTGGGGATAAACAAGTCACCAGGGCCATCCACTGCCACGCCCTTCCAGCCTTTACTATCGGATAGGGCCCCCCCAAGCTCATACATGCAAACACCGAGCTTCTTTCCTAGTCTAACACGTATTTATGCAAGAAGGGAAACAGCACATCTGAGGTGAACTTACTGCGTTAGCATTTCCTCCAACCTGCATGCATCGCAGCTGAAACCAAGACCAGTTAGCATCCAGCTCTGTAGATCTAAATGGAAAGAATATTCGCTAACGTTAACACATCTTTCCCCCAGAATCAAGCCACTACACTTTGGAAAACAAGAGTTCCGTGATTTTCAGGATCCTGAAGACTTCTAGGCTTGTGTTAACAGTGACACAGGACGCTGGGCCTGCAGGGCATGTGACAGCCGTGCTGGCAGCTCCGGCCCCCCTCGTCCTTCCCAGTGGCCAAGTGTCCGGTGGGCCGGCTGCCCGCTCCCCTCCACGCCTGACCACAGGCAGGTCAGGCCAGGCCCGCAGCACCTTGTGCTGCCCGGACTCCAGCCAGCTTCTCTTCTAGGGCGCAGGGACATGCCAAGCTTCCCGGGGATGCCGGAACCACTCTGACTCCTCGCCTCGCATCCTCAGTGGCTTCTGATCTAAACATCGGTAACGTGTCTCTGCTTGAATTTTTCAGATCAGCTATCCATTTGTCCAGCGTGACACCTAACAGGAGCCTCCGGGATGCTCACAGCTTATTGTCAGATGGAACCCAACGTCACCACCATCAGGGAGGGGAGAAAACTCAGGATTTAGTGCTCTTAAAGGGAAAACTCCAAGTGTCTTCTCCCCGACCACACCTTATGCCCTACTTATCTGTAATCTGAGACCAGATCAGGGCAAGGGAAAGGCAGTAACTGTATTTCTCAACAATAGAAGTTCTCTGAGTGATCACTGTAAAGCAAGATATGATAGTACAACTATGTTAGAAGTCTTTATATCAAATCCATAGGTATGAGCAAAAAGCAAGGCTGTCCGTCATTCAAGAACAGCTTGTCCCACACTAACTGTAAAAGAATGTGGACATTTTTTAATGGGTATAGGTAGAGTACCCTGTACAAAATAGGAAGGTAGAAAGAGGTTTCAGATTCCGAAAGTTCTTTTATGCTGCGCCTCTGTGTACTAATTTCTAGGCCTCTTTGTATTGCTTAACCTTTGTAAATGTTACAATGTTATTTAGAAGCCAATAGCTACTTTAAGGTTAATAATAATACTAATACATATTATCACACATCCATAGGACAAATCCACTTCGCAGCAATACATAAAAAGTAAAATTTAACCCACTCTTTATTTAATCCACCCTTTATAAGCAACAGATTTCCCAAAAACAAGAATAAAATCTTGAAGAACTTGAGGACCAAGCAATGTGACTAAATTACATACCCTGTTCTGAAATCCTTTTTCTGATAAGATCTTGCTCAGTCCCGTTTCCATGGCTCTCCCTCAGTCCGAGTCGGACACCAGCCCCATCCCGTTCTGTCATAGGGTGGCAGTTACCAGCACAGTCTCTGGAGACCAACTGAGAGACAACAAATCTCACCTCTGCCACGACTCGCTGTATGACTTTGGAGTGGCTTACTGAACTTCTCTGCGCCTACTTTCCTCATGTGCAAAGCAGTGATCATTATAATATGATCTATTTCATTCTTGTAGGAATCAAATAAGCTAATATCTAGAAAGTGCCTGGCTCATGGTAAATCCCATATGGCTAAAATTCTCTGCATCACCATCACCATGACCATGTTAACCCCGTCACGCTGTGTCAGAAGCAGCAAGCTCCAGAGGACAGGGATGTCCCGTATTTTTTTGCCACACTCCTACCATAGGCACATAACGGGTATCTGAATTTGGGCTGCCTTAATTATGTCCTAAAACTGGGTCTGCAAGTCCTCGGGTTGGCTATTCAGCCTTACAACTTTTGGTCTTAAACAATCTTAAAAAAAAATAAATAAATAAAGCCAAATATTTCTCTACATGCTCCTTAGAAACGAAGATTGAAACTAATTGTTCCTGACCTGGCCTGCCAGGGATTCTCTCTCATTACACTGGACTTTCAAAATAAAAGGTTCTGATGCTAGTGGACTGTGACAATAGTCAATCTTAAGAGGAAACTTCATTGCTCATGAGTGCCCGACACGAGGAGGTGACTTACTGTAGGTCATTTCTTACCTTTAATTTAGATTAAGACATGTGTGAAAGGTAATAAATAGTCTGTGACAATGCTAAGCAAAACGTAAAGCAGAGGAAGTAAGAAAAGTTGAAGAATTAGTGTCCTTTTAACAAAGTAGCTCTAGTTAACCAACTAGGTAAATGAGAAAACAGGTTTCCCATGACCTCTACAATCCTTATGAGTCAAGACAGGACCTCCTTAACGGTGCATGAATTAGGGACACCTGCGTGGCTCAGGGCAAGATCTCAGGGTCCTGGGATCGAGCCCTACATCAGTCTCCCTGCTCTCACTCTGCTTCTCCCTCTGCCCCTCCCCACCTCGTGCTCACTTGCTCTCTCTGTCTCAAATAAATAATCTTAAAAAAAACCCTGCATGAATTAGCTTCACTAGTGGCTGCCAAAGTCAGTATTTTTTCGTTAAGTAGAACATTTAGATTTTAGAAATCAGAAGGAATCTCACCAAATAAACATGACAGAGTTATCATGCAATGAAAAGTTTTAAGGGCACCTGGGTGGCTCAGTTGGTTAAGTGTCTGCCTTCAGCTCAGGTCATGATCCCGGGGTCCTGGGATCGAGTCCCACATCAGGCTCCTTGCTCTGCAGGGAGCCTGCTTCTCCCTCTCCTCCCCACTTGTGCTCTCTCTCACTATCTGTCTCTCTCTCTCAAATAAATAAATAAAATCTAAAAAAAAATTAAAAAAAAAAAAGAAAGAAAGTTTTAAATGGAATTTTACCCATTTATCAAGTTAATCTAGACGTTTCCTCGCAGACAAGCCCGGGAACAGCTTCCAGGCAGGCAGCTGTTTGTAACTGGCCTGACTGCTCGATAGAAGGCCATGGGAGGTGTCGCCTTCCTACACTCACATCACAAGACCTTCTCCTCTCGCATCCACTGGGCAGGCACCAGACAACCTGGCCCTTCCTTCAAGGGAAGGAAACAAGACAAGGAGAGGCAGTCGAGGATGGTGCCAGGACTCGGGCCCCCAGCAGCCCGCTGCAGCGCCCTCTCTCCTAACGCCCACCCTGCACTGCCAGGCCAGTGTCTCTGGGCACCTGCTGCGCCTGGGGCCCAGAGCAGACTGCCCATGTTCACCCTTCAACGCCTCAGCAGTTAGGACAGGCTCCGGCCTGGCAGTCAAGACCCTTCCCAATGTCAGCCAAATCTTCGCCCTTGGAATCCTTTATCACCTCATTTTCCTACGCATATAAAAATGAGCTACTACACATGTCCCTTTTTCCAGCCTCTGTACCTTTCCTTAAAGTCTGAGTGCTGACCTCCTTTTCCCTGCCTTGTTTCCATTATCAAAATCTCACCGAAACTTTGAGGTTGACTGCAAGTGTAAGTTACCTCCTCCTTCAATTTGGACCAATCTTCCTCAGAAGTAGATGCGGTACTGTTTCCGTGTCCTGGGTGGCACTTGACAGTCTGTCCTCTTGTTCATGCTCTATTTAAGCCTGTCCCTGCCCACCCCCAGCCCACTGCAGGGAGGACTAGATTCCATTCACCTTTCATAAGCTCATGAAATACTTAACAGTGAACCTGAGAAGAAAAGAGCTGAAGGGAGAGGAGCACGGTGCAGAGGGCAAGCCCCAGGGGGCGGTGGGCTGGGGCCAGTCCAGTTACGTCCACTCTGCTCCAAGTGGTGGTTGGCCATTTCTGTGATGCCTAACCCACCTTTCCCCTGTTGGTTGGCAAAAGCAACAGTTCATAAATTTTTTCCTTTGTAAAACTGTTGACTTGAAAAAAACCCAAATCTCCATTTAAATAAACATTCCACCCAAGCCATCTGTTCATGCCTGGGGAGCACAACAGTGAGCATGAGGGTATGTGTGGGTATGTATGTGTGTGTCTGCTGGGGGTGGAGAGAGGAAGAAGAGGAGAAAGGGATTTGAGAGGAAGGACTTTTCACTTCTTACTTTATGAGCTTTGGGACTGCTTGGATTTTTTTTCCCACTGGGCTAATGTTTGTAATTGTTTTAACCAATAAAAAATGTCTAAACAGCAAACCTCCACCTCTTAAAAACAAAAATCCTACCCTTATCATCCTTGACCTCCTCTTGCCCAACTCCTAGACTGCTGGCCTCCAGTTATACAGGATTTTTTAACAACTGTTTCTGAATCACTTATAAACATTGTGATTCATGGTTATATTTATCTTTTTAAAGACTAGTCATTAAACCTGCAGCAGCCCAAGTAGACTCTGCTGTCTAGCCTCATTAGGCTTCCGGTCGGTCCTTCCCTCACCCAGGAACACGTCAGATTTCCTGGAATGGTTTAAACTGGAGGTGTGCTTTGATGGTGAGGCAAAGGGAAGGCCAGATTATAATGGGCGGGATTCAGCTGAGAGGAAGAGAGGAAGAACAAAGGAAGACAGCCAATTATAAATTGTCTTATGTTCACTGGTAACAACTGATCAGGGGCTGGTCGGGGGTTGGGGGGGCGGGGAGGACATTAAAAGAAATTTGCCTTGGCAAGTAAATACCTCAACATTTAAAAAAAGAGACAAGAACAGGATAGTGTATTCAAAATATTCTGGGACCAGCATGTCTAAGAAAAAAGAAAAGACAGGGCGCCTGGGTGGCTCAGTCAAGCATCTGGCTTCAGCTCAGGTCATGATCCCAGGGTCCTGGGAAGCCTGCTTCTCCCTCTCCCTCTCCCCCTGCTTATGGTCCCTCTCTCACTGTCTCTCTCTCTGTCAAATAAATAAAAAAATTTAAAAATCTTAAAAAAAAAAAAGAAAAAAGAAAAGACAAGAAATGGATAGATACTCTGAAACCAGGAAGAACATGCAAAAGAACTCCCTTTTCTAATTAATTACTTATGGAGTTATACAGCTATAAATATTTAGCCCATCATGCCTCTACGAACTGATTTCTGAAAAAAGAACTCACGAAAGTACAACAGGAAAGGTTTTTTTTAAAGTTAATATATTAAAAAAGAAAATTAAGCTATTACTTTTACTACACAGTTTTTATGCCATCATATAAAATATCCAATCAAAATTATAACTGATTTTATCTTATAGGAACTAATGCTTTTCTTTTTTAAGATTTTATTTATTTATTTGACAGAGAGAGCGAGCAAGCATAAGCAAGGGGAGTGGCAGGCAGAGGGAGAAGCAGACTCCCCACTGAGCAGGGAGCCTGATGTGGGGGCTTGATCCCAGGACCCTGGGATCATGACCTGAGCCGAAGGCAGACGCTTAACCGACTGAGCTACCCAGGAGTCCCCGGAACTAATGCTCTTCATAGTAATCACATTGTATCAATATTCCTTAAGTCATAATATAAAATAAAACTGCTCGCCACAATTCCGAAGAGCCTGCCTGCCTCTGTTGGTTCCTTCCCCGGAAAAAGAAGCGGCAGGGGAACAGATGAACTGGTTAGAGGGGGTCAGCAGTAATGGAGATCTGAGCCAGGGCTGCTCAGGGGTGCCCTGCAGAATGTGGTCTGGCCAAGGCCCATGGGGGCTGAAGTGCAGGCCTTGCTCAGCTTCTAAGTCCTGAGCCTTCCTAGGGATCCTTTTATTATTTCCATTTATTTTACTTCACACAAGGGCACTTTGGCCCCCCCACTGGACTGTAGGGCTGTGTTCAAGGGGGTACACACCAAAGACCCATCAAGGCTGCTACCAGACTGTTTTGAGTAGAAGATACATACTTGCCAGAAGGAGCCAATGCAGCCCACGTCTGCAGATAAAAAAAGAAAGACTTTCTTTCTACAAGCATTTGAAATTGCCACCAAAATTCATACAAAAATCACCCACTCAGGCTTTGTGAGATAGTGACCCTGGGAGCCAGGGCTGCAGGACTGTGCTGGATGTATACCCATGCTATAATGAGGGCTTCTCGCCCTTTACATCAGCTCTCCTCCTGATGGGGCGTGTGATGGACCCACAGCACCCCGATCCCCTTCTATCACGAGTGTGTCACAGTAAGATTCCTCTGAGCTGCCGGTTATTAGAAGGTGATAAAGGGAGAAGAAGAATGTTTCAAATCCTCCATTCTAGACTCCATTGTCAGCACCGCAGCCTCAGGTCCCTGACACCGAGCTCTACAGAACAGTAACTGAAGAGAAAATAATTCATTTTCCCTGTTCATCTAATTATAAAGATTTAAATCTCTATAACTCATAGCCAGCCTCTCATTCTACTTGACGTCAAAGCAAACATGAAGGATAAAGGGGAAAAAGACCTGTGAAACAACAGGATCACTCCCACCCACGGTAAGAGAAGACACACTTACCGAATAAAACTCAAGTGAACGCCGAGTGACCGGTGTGACCCTGAGCAGTCGATGCAAAGAAACACCCCATAGGTTACACTTGCCCAGCTAGGATTCTTGGCACCACAATCAAAACACACCTGGAAGAAATTTCAAAATTCAGTTATTAATTAATTCATATTAGCCAAAAGGGGCATCTCACAGGATACAATATAGAGTTTAGCTTGAAAGTGACTTCACCTTTACACTTTTAAACTGGTTATTATGAAATCGCTCACCTAGGGGCACCCAGGTGGCTCAGTTGGGTAAGCGTCTGACTTTGGTTCAGGTCATGATCTCAGGGTCCTGGAATCAAGCCCCGCGTCGGGCTCCCTGCTCCGTGGGGAGTCTGCTTGTCCCTCTCCCTCTGCGCCCGCCCCGCCCCGCTCATGCTCTCTTTCTCTCTCTCAAATAAAATCTTTTAAAAAAAACTCACCTAGATTTTTTTAAACCTTAACTTTCATTTCTTTTATTATCCTATTATGCGTAACTATATTATATTCATTAAGCATCAACAGGGCTCCTACCAGGCCCTCACACACTAGCCAGGATGTCCCCCTGCTGGGAACACTCAAGGCCTTGCGGCCCTCTAGCCGGTGGCAGCCCTCACATGTACTCCTTCTGCCCCCAGCCAGACGCGACAGCAGGTGTGGGAGCCGCCCTCGCTTGCGCGGGGTGGTCTGTGACCAATAATGAGACCGAAGTGCCAGTAGGTCATTTCTGAGATTAGGTTACAAAAGACGCTGTGGCGTCCTTTCTGTCTCTTGCTCTCTCTCCCCCTTGGATCACCGGCTCTGGGGGAAGCTAGCCGCCATGGCTGGAGGACTCGTGAGCAGCCCAGTAGAGAGCCTCAAGCGGAGAGGAACCGAGGCCACGGGTCCAACAGCCAAGTGAGGGGTGGAGGCCGGCTAAGCTCCACGTGAGCGAGCTTGGGAGCGGGGGCCCCAGGCTTCAGAGAGGGCAGCCCCAGCCGACAGCAGGACGGCAACCTCGTGAGACCCAGGGCCTTCCTCCCTCAACACTGACTGAAGCCAAACGTTCTTCATCTGATAGCATCTGGCAACAGGAGCATAAAATGACTTTAAGATACACAGAGTTTGTCATGGAAATTACTATTTATAATTAAAGTCAGAAAATTCCACTAATAAGAGAACACTTCATTTTTTTCCAGAAAAAGAGCCCCATATTTTAGATACACTTTATAGACGGAGCCTCCTATGTGAAGGCTGTTCCAACTCTAGTCATCGAGAAAGATCTGGCTTCTGGCCTTCTGAAGGCAACACCAAAGTGAAAACATGAGCAGACTGTCCAAAGCCCCTCAGTGTGGCAGGCTCACATTAAGTATGCATGGACAGTGGGGTTGGAGAGACACCTGACAGGGAAGGTGCCGGTCCATTCACTTCCATCCAATTCCATTCAGTGTTTCTGGATTGCCTGCTGTACACCAGACGCTATGGCAGGCACTGAGGTAGTCAGAACTATCTGGTCTCCCAGACTCCACAAACACTTGCCGAGTCCCCACCCCCTGCCAGGCCATGTGCTCACTGAGCAGTGGGAGAGAAGGACACCAGGACATCAGAAATGAAGATGCCCTATGCACGTAGAGTAAGGAATCCCCTTCCATGGGACACCAGACAGTGTGACCAACCCTGCCCATGTGCTGGGTTGCCTCCTCGGCAAGAGGCCATCTGTAACCCCCCACTCTCTCAACTAATAGTTGTGCACTTACTACCAAGTAAGTATCTGGCATGCATAAAAGTGGTTCAGGAAGGGTCAGCCCGCATGGAGCCCATGTATGGAGCCCACAGTCTAGCAGGCAAGACAATTAGTTGTAAGTTGAAAGCTGGAAGCAAGGACAGGATACAAAAGGTTCCCCCCTGCCCCCCCAAAAAAGACAGGGTCCAAGAGGCAAACTGAAATCTCAGGAACTGAATCTTAAATTGCAGTTAGTGGCAAAAGGCCGTGTAGGGAACGGCCCTGTGGGGAGGGGTGACAACAGAGATGGTGCACAGCCCAGAACAGGCAAGACCTGAGCATCCCTCCTGAGGTGGTCTGGCGGCAAGGCTGAGCAGAGAGCAGAGAGCCTTCTAAACATGCTGGCCTCAGCACCCTCCTGACCCACCAGCTAAGATGAGCAATTGCCAGAATGTAGCTCCACGAGCGAGGCCAGGGGCCCTCTCCCGCGCGCCGGAGCTGAGCACTGAGCCCGGCACAAGCAAGCACTCAGTACACCAAGTACAGGGAGTGGGACAGTTCGCAGGGGTGCTGGAGATCGGCAACTGTGGGGCCTGAGTTCAGGAGGCAATAGGAAATACACGCCTGGCTCTCACGAATGCTGGAGCAGGAGACTGTGCTTTAAGTGTGGGGACTGCACTTGGTTTTGATATGCAACCCCAAACCGAAGCTGAGACATGGTTTTCTAAGCAGAATATCACTTCCTATGGTGATGAAAAATAAATGCCTTGGGCACCTGGGTGGCTCAGTCAGTTGAGCGCCTGACTGTTGATTTTGGCTCAGGTCATGGTCTCAGGGTCCTGAGATCAAGCCCCACGTGGGGCTCCACGCTGCTTAAGATTCTCTCTCCCTCTCCCTCTGCCCCGGCCCTGCCAGAAAAAAAGAAAAAGAAAAGGAAATGCCGCTGCTTAACAGTTTGCTTTGCCTAATGATGAGAGTAAGTACTAGAGAAACAACAGCTAATGTTGAGTGTTTATTCCCTGTCAGGCCTCGCTACTGACCAACGGAACCATCCTAACATCCCCGTAAGGAGGTATTCTTATTGTCCCCATCGAGGCCAGCTGCTGGGCGTGTGTGGGAACTGTGTGGCTGCCCGGGGCCCCACACTTAGAAAAGCCCATGGCTGCTTAATGCTCTGCTGTCTCATCTTGACATTCTCAACACTTTTTAAACAAGGGCCCCGCATTTTCATCTCACACATTTTGTATTCTCTGCAAATTATGTAGTGCAGTTCTCATCCCCATTTTATTATTTAAACAATTTTTTTAAGATCTTATTTATTTATTTGTCAGAGAGTGAGCGAGCGAGCACTAGCAGGGGGAGCGGCAGTCTAAGGGAAAAAGCAGGCTCCCCGCTGAGCAAGGAGCCCGATGCAGGGCTCGATCCCAGGACCCTGGGATCACGACCTGAGCGGAAGGCAGACGCTCAACTGACTGAGCCACCCAGGCGTCCCTCTCACCCCCATTTTAGAGAAAACTAAAGACTTAGGAAGTTAAGCATCACCACTGAGGAGTGGTATCTTGGGGACTCGACCCCAGGCGGTATGCCCCAGAGCTCACTCTTCACCTCTCACCACACTGCCTCTCTCTCACATGGCTTGGCTGGCCGGGTTGGCCGTTATCTGTCTTCCGCCCACTAGACTCGCAGCTCCCCGAGGTCTCCCTCTCCATCAGAGTGCCCCACTGCTCTGAGCGCCCAGCTCACTACAGCTGCTCAACCGATTCTTGTTGACAGAGTAACTCAAACAATCAAGCAATAAAACTGAGGAACATGTAGAGACAAGGAAGGATTCTCAAACTAGAACACTGACCCTTCTGGGTTAAAACCTTGATCCAGAGTACATATTCATCACCCATGAGATGAAGAAACCAGATAACATAGTCTAAATGTAAACACAGGTGTTCCTCTTGAAGTACCTTCCCTGTGTATCTTACAGCTCTTTTTTATAGCCCCTTCTGAAAAATGCTTCCTGTTCCCCAAGAGTTCCCCCAAACTCTTCCATATTATTAAAACTAGATTCATCTCTACTTAGGTAATGGTTTCTTACTAACAATCAAATGAAAATTCTTAATCAAGAAATGTAGCACAAGACTGTGGAACATTACTGGAAAAGCATTTTCGCCCCATGCTTTTATTAATCCTATTACAGAGTATAAAATTTTCCATGGGGGTGTTGTTCGTCATAAAGATCGTTAACAAAAAAATGGCTGACGCTATTGGACGACTAGCACGTGCAGGTACGGCTCTAAGTGCTTCTCTTGGATTTTCTCATTTAATCCTCCCAATAACACTCCGAGTTAGATCCTGCTCAAGCCTCCATTTCCAGAGGAGGAAAGAAGGCACAAAGTGGTCAAGTAAACTGCGCAAGGTAACACAGTCACCAGCAAGCCCACACGAGTCCCTCAAAAGTGTCATGAAGACGATGACTTCTTATTTAAAAGAGGGCAACTTTCCTTTGATGAATTCAAAGAGAACACACATTGGTTTTGAGATAAAGCAGACAAAAAATGTACTTCTACACTGCTAACTGCAGATCCTAATCTTGTCTACCTATACAGCAACCACACCCTATAAACAGGTTAATCTAAAGTGAAAATCAAGAAAACAGCAAAGAAATTAGCATTAGACAATTCCTGAAGCCTTTCTCCTCCTGACTTTCCTACACTCATCAGGTATCACCTCCAATAAACTCTTTCCTTTCTCACTCCTCTTACAACCTGTAAAAATATGGGCTCCCTTCCACCAAGACTTAAAGACATCTAATTTTATAAAACTCAGGATCTTTCTATGCCATGACATCATGACTCATGACCATGATCATTAACAGCTGTTCACTTTGGAGGTGACAGTGGGGACCAGACAAACTCCTGTCACAAGAGGGGAAGGGAGAGTCCACGCTGACACACTGACAGCCCTTTGCACTCTCCAGGTTCCAGCCTGACCTGTGATCCTCCGTGGAGGGTGTCACTTTAGCCCGATGTGTCATCACAACATCCCCAGCCAGTCGCGAAAGTTGTAAAAGTCACAGAGGAGAACCACCTCTGGAGACAAAAAAAAAAAAAAAAAAGGAAAACCCCAACCTCCAAAAGAGACCCAAAGGGAAGACAGAGAAAGGGTCCGTGGTGGGCCTTCTTAGCAAGAGGAATGAGCTGGAAGCCACTGCAGAGACCACTTAGTCGCTTTATCAGACAGGGAAACTGAGGCTGCCATCAAAGGGCACAGGGGACCAACCAGGCTCCAACAGGCACCCCAGGGGAACCTCAGAGGTCAGCTCCAGGGTGTGGAGGGGGCCAGTCGAGCTCTCCCAAGCGCCCAGCGCTGCCAGCTGGAGTCTCGGGGCCGGTGCGTGCCTCCCAGCTGGGTCACAGGCGGCCTGCAGTGTCAGCCCCGCTCACAGGCGCCCCTGTGGGTGCACCCCAGCCCTCTCTCGGCGGGGGGGTCCCCGAGCTCGCCTCCAGCTCTCTCAGAGCTCACGGGGTCCACTCCGCCACCCCCAAAAGCAGCCGCCGTGTGCGCTCCCCCGCCCGGTGTCAGGAACCCCAGGTGTGTGCCCCCGGCCCCCGGGGCGCCCAGAGGCTGTCGCCTCCCGCCCCCGGGGCCCCCAGGTGCCCGCCCCGCCCAGGACCCCGGTGTGCGCCCCCTCCCCTCCTCCTTGCTGAGGCTGGGGGCGGCGCGCGGCCCAGACCCAGACGAGGCCCAGGCGCCGCGGCCGCAAGTGCGACGTGTCACAGGCCCGGCCGGCTCCTCCTCCCGCGGCCGCGGCCACTGCCGCAGCGGGGGCCGCCCGCGGGGCTCGGCACGGACGCCCGGCAAGGCTGAACACGCCCGAAGGCCGTTACCTTGTTGGTGGGCACCGAGCGGAGGCGCTTGAAGATGGTCAGGATGTCCTGCTTGCTGGGGTCCCCCATGGTCACCAGAGAAACGAGGGGCAGCCGGCCCGGCCAACCGGGAAGCGCCGAACAGGAGCGGTTGCCGCCTCCCGGAGAGAGACTGCGGCCGAGGGGGCGGGGCTGCGCGTGACGGCCAGGCCCCGCCCCGCCCGGCCCGGCCCCGCCCCGGCCCCGCCCCAAACCGGAGCTCGCGCGCCGCTCTCTTCTCGCGGCCCTCGCTCAGCTGCACGCTGGCTCCGCCCGCTCGAGCCCCGCCCCTGCGCTGCCCGCGCGTGCGCAGAAGCCCCGCGCAGCTTCTCCCCGCGGGTCCCGTGGTTCGGTCGGGTATGCGGAGGACTGAGGCTGCGGTCGGGTAGGCTTGCCTCCCGCGCGCTCGGCCGTGGGACCCGCCACCACTTGGGCTGGTCGGTCGCCACTTCGACCGACGGACTGCTTGCTTGGCCGAGGCCTTGTCACCCCGTCCTCGTGAGGGCACAGAACCAGTCCCCCCAGGTGGCAGAGTAGGAAACGTGAGGGGAAGGACCTACCCGCCACCTCCGGCCGCCCGCTTTTCGCTAGTGCCCACCCCTGCGTTTTCTGTTTTTTGTGGTTTTTTGCATTAAGCTAAAGCCGAGCCCTGGGTGGGAAGCTTTCATCGCCCGAAAATTGCTTTTCTTAAAGCACCTGTTTGGGTATCAGCTCAGAGAGAGAGCAGTTCTCTTGAGGCTTAGTCCCAACTGGTGAACACAGACCAGAAAAGCCGCGGGACTTTTCCCCGCGCCCCGGGCTGCGACCCGCCCTGTGGCTGACGTTACAGAAGGGCTCGAACTCGTGGAGAAAGGTGCCTCCTTTACTGTCGTGGCTGTGGAGCCGCTGGAAAAATGTCTCCTGAGGTTCGGTGGCGCAATGCAAGGAAAACAGGTTTACCTTGGCTCCAAGGCTGATTGAGCCCGCTCCTTTCTAGCTCGGGGACCTTGGTCGAGTCATTTCTCTTCTCCAAAACCGGGCTTGCTCATCTGTACAATGGGGCTAGAGAGAAAGAATCCGTGCTGAGCAACGGGGGGAGAGCAGCTTCCCCGGGGGAGCCCCGGAAAAGCCTTTGACGGTGCTTTTCTGCTTTTAGAAGCTAGGAATGCCCTTTGGGGGCGCCTGGGTGGCTCGGTTGTTAAGCGTCTGCCTTCGGCTCAGGTCATGATCTCGGGGTCCTGGGATCGAGCCCCACATCGGGCTCCCTGCTCCACGGGAAGCCTGCTTCTCCCTGTCCCACTCCCCCTGCTTGTGTTCCCACTCTTGCTGTGACTCTGTCAAATAAATAAATAAAATATTAAAAAAAAAAAAAGAAGAAGAAGCTAGGAATGCTCTTTCAACCTGTCTGGTTAGATGCCCTGGGGGAAGTTGGAAGTTTGCAAGGAGGTGGACTCAGATAAACCCAGGGTTGGAACTTTTCCAAGGAAGGGAAATGTATTGCCTAACAGAAAAATTAAGTTACTTTTGCAGATAGCTGCGACTGAAAGTTCTTAAGTCAAAGTATATACCCTTGTAGTCTGTGTCCTGTCATAGTGATGCAGGCTGGCCTGTCCAAGGACCCAGAGGGAGTCCCGTGGGACCAGCCAAGAGGGTCCATGGTTTTGTGCAGGACGGAGATCAAATGTGAACTGAGAGGAAGTAAGAGCAAAGTTTATTAAATAGCGTAAGTGATAAAGCACAGCAGACAGTGTCTGGGAGACTCAGAAAGGAAAGAGAGTTCCTTGCTTGGGGTTGGGGTTTTTATTGAGGATCATGGTCTGGTGTACCTGTCTTAGCCCAGAACCCGTCAATCAAAACAAGGACAAGGGCTCCGGGGTTCTCCATAAGTCACTTATGCCCTGGAGACAGGGATCTTGGCATCAAGGTATCTGGAGTCGGGTCTTGGAAAGCCTACATGATGACCCCTCCCAGTCACTCCTTGGATGATGTTATCTATGGTGCCGGAAGACTCCAAAGAAATCATTAACTCCTGGGCGCCTGGGTGGCTCAGTTGGTTAAGCGACTGCCTTCAGCTCAGGTCATGATCCTGGAGTCCCTGGATCGAGTCCTGCATCGGGCTCCCTGCTCGGCAGGGAGTCTGCTTCTCCCTTTGACCCTCCCCCCCCATGTGCTCGCTCTCTCTCATTCTCGCTCTCAAATAAATAAATAAAATCTTTAAAAAAAAAAAAAAGAAATCATTAACTCCTTGACCATTACAAAGAGGACTTATATTAAGGCATGTATAAGGCGGGGGTGCACATCCTAGCAAGAGCCGAAGCAGGAAAACGAGGAAAAAGGCAGTTTTTCTCCTGGGGTCCTTTCAGTTTCCCCATCTTGATACTAGTTTGGCCCTCCACAGAACACCGGGCATTTTTATGAGGAACAGTCATATCCTTTCTGATGGGAATGATGATGACTATTTGGAGCTGAAATCTGCCTTCGGCTCAGGTCATGATCTCGGGGTCCCGGGATGGAGCTCCGCATCGGGCTCCCTGCTCCACGTGATGAGCAGAAGGCAAGCTGAGGACAAAACACAAGCTGACACCCCACAACCCCTTCCAACCCCCACCCCCCCACCGTGAGATACGTGTGGCATTCCTCAGGCACTCCTAGCTGCCCCAAAACTAAGAGAAGGGAAGAAAACAAATGGTTAACTGATAAAGCTCACAGTCCTGCAGGACTGGAGTTTCCATCTGCTTACCAACGTCTTAGTGATAGACAGGGAAAAAGCATTCTTATCAATAGCCTAACTTCCAGAGACCCATAACTCAATTTCCTGGAGCCCTAACCTCACCGTCCATGAGTGATGTGGGAAACAGAGGCAGAAGGAAATATAAACAAAGTTAAGTTTCTTTAAGACTTGCAGCCTATTGACAAGGACTTGTAATAGGAAGAGTGTAACATTCCTCCAGGAAGCTCCCAACTGTCTTCAGGTTAATGCCTTACTGGAAGGAAAAGCAACCTTAACTCAGCAATCGCCAGGCCTCCGTTATCATGTAAATCTTCTTTAGTATAGCAAAGTCCTTTTGGCTACCTCCCTTTTCCTGACGTCCCCCAACTCCCAAGTATATAATCAGCCACCCCTCACAACCCTGGTGCAGGAGCTCTTTCTGCCCATGGGTCCTGCCCCGGTGCTTTAATAAAATCATCTTTTTGCACCAAAGATGTCTCAAGAGTTCTTTCTTGGCCGTCGGCTCCGGTCCCCACCAACATTCCAAAACAACATCACAAGGAGCAGGAAAAAAGTGCAATGAAGTACAGAGTCTATGGGAGGAAAAATACTGTTTGTGTATGCACATCACTGGCTCATCTCTCATCTGCTTAAGTGTTCTTTGTAGAACTTATTACCACCTAATACAGTATGTAATACTATGTATTTCCTCCCTTCAGCTGAATATAAATGTACTGAGATCAGGTCTGTCTTGTCTACCTCTGTCCCCAGCACCTAGAACACGCCTGGCACATAGTGTGCATTAAAGAAAGATGTGTGGAGTAGGCTTAGAATGTAGAAAGCTACAAAAGAGTGTCACTCCCCACATGATGAGAACAGACTGGATCATCTACAAAATCATAGCTTTTCTTAAGCCTGTCAAATGGCTAAGGTTGCAAATTACCCAAGTAAACTGAATTCCGAAGAGAAACTGATGAAGTTTTAGAATATAAGTGAGGTCCGGAGCCGACGACCAAGAGAGAATTCTTAAGATGTCTCTGGTGCAAAAAGGTGGTTTTATTAAAGCACGGGGACAGGACCCGTGGGCAGAAAGAGCTGCTGCCCTGTGGTCTTGAGGAGTGGCTGATTATATACTCAGGAGTTGGGGAGGTGAGGACAAAGGGGGTGTCCAGAAGGACTGTCATATGCTAAAGACTCTCAGGATACTGGAGGCCTGGTTATTGTCAAGCCAAGGCTATTTCCCCCTCTAATGGGGCACTAACAGGAAGACAACTGGAGGTTTCCTGGAGGAATGTTACGTTCCTCCTATCACACGTACCTGTCAATGGGCTTCAGGTTCAAAAGAAATCCAATTTTATTTACATTTCCTTCCGCCTCAGCCTCCCTTAATTTTATGGAGGGGAGGGTGATGTTAGGGCTTCAGGAAACTGAGTTATGGGTCTCCTGGAAGTTAGGCTATTGATGAGAAAGCTTCTTCCTTGTAAATCACTAGGACTTTGTAAACTGAGGGAGACTCCTGTCCTGCAAGACTGTGATCTCTATCAGTTAACCGTTTGTTTTCCCTTTAGGGCAGCCAGGAGTGCCTGAAGAATGTCACATAACATCGGGGGGGGGGGGGCGGGTTGCGGGGTGTCAGCTTCTGCTTTGTCCTCAGCTAGCCTTCTGCTCCATCAAAACGAGCGTCCCCAAAGGTAGATGGAACACAAGAGCTCCTTCACCTTTGGTAAAGCATAGGAGAAAGGTGACGCCATCCAAGTGGGTAAGAGGAAATCAGTCAAAATTGTAATGAATTCGTAAAGGCCAAGTGTGGGCTGGCACGTCAGTTTGAAATAGCTTGAGGCCTCAGATACAAAGAGTTTACATTCATTCACAAGCTCTTTTCCATGAACCCCCACCAGAAATTTTTCTTCATAAGAAAGCTGGAGGCAGAGACTTGAGAGAAACCCCTTGGGGAGTCCGGTCTCCAACTCTTGGGGGAGGGGCACAAAACCCCACCCACATCCCTTCTGGAAAACAAAAGCAGCAAATTAACTCTCCCTCAGGGTTTGGGAAAAGATGCATTCCTGCCAAGGGAGGAGCAGAAGCAAAGTCCAACGATCCCAAATCCAAAAGAGAGTAAGAGATCCTCTCACCCTCAAAAGAAGACAAGCAAAAATTCATTGCTACAGATTTAAGAATAACAGAATACAGGGGCGCCTGGGTGGCTCAGATGGTTAAGCGTCTGCCTTCGGCTCAGGTCATGATCCCAGGGTCCTGGGATCGAGCCCCACATCGGGCTCCCTGCTCAGTGTGGAGTCTGCTTCTCCCTCTCCCTCTGCCTCTCTCCCTGCTCATGCTTTCTCTCTCTCTCTCTCTCTCTCTGTATCTCTGTCTCAAATGAATAAATAAAATCCTAAAAAAAAAAAAAGAATAACAATACACAAGGAACCAGCCTTGAGGCAGGTCCACATTGCTGTGT